GGAGGGGCCACACTATCCAAAGTCTTTGTGAAAAGTAGCACTCCTCCCACCATATCCGCTTCAGTGATTCCTCTATACTGATACCCTTCTCTAGCCGCCTTCACACCCAGACTAAGGTGACTAGCAAGCATGAATCCTCAAGTCCAAGAGACTCTCCCGAGCGGCTGAGCTCCGAGCAGCCTTCTGCGGGCCACGATTCTGCCCCGTCATCAAGACAGGAGACAAATCAGCTGATAGCGTTCGATTTTGATGATGAAAAATTATATGCCAGCGTGACGAGCCCGCTCCTTTTAAATTCGTTCAATGACTACACAGGCTTCTTCTTAGAGACGACCGAAGAGGCTTCATGGACCCTGCAAACAGACGAGCGTGAGGGGTTGTCAAGAGATACCGAGCACCAATCGCTATCCTCCTTCGAATCTTCCATTATTAGTCCAGCTGACCTCCTACTCACGGAGTCTCTGCTCGATGATGTTCCCTCATGGAAGAAAGCCTTGCTTATGCATTGTGAGTTCATTGGTGACAGCCGATGTTATGGATCCGCTCGACGCACGAGAGAAAGACTAACTCATTTGTCTCGACAAGACTCAGAACACATCGCTAGCGAAATGCTAGCAATCGATGGAAGGCACAACGGCTGGAGATACATCGTTCTTCCCTTAGCTCACACCGACGACTTGGTTATGGAGGCTGTTCTCGCCGTATCGGCTTTCCACCGAGATGCCAAGAAAAGCACAGACTGGGCGGAATACTTTCAAAACAGCGGCTCTGATTTGCAGTACACATCCCAGCAGCAGTCGCGTTGGCTGAATTCGATTGCCAGCAGCCCGCAGACCCTTTATAATACAGCCATCAAAGGACTACGGAGGCGCAGTAATCTGGCAGGGAGCAGTTATGAAGCGAAACAAGCCATTCTGGTGGCGGTCCTTGTGCTGCTTGTTGCGGCCATGGTGACGGGGAGAGATGATTACTTCATGATTCTTGGGATGTTGCATTCTGCAACAGATGTCTTCAAAGGTGAAGATGAGTTATGGGCCAGTGAGCTAGGTCGCTTCTTGGCTCGCCAGGTGCAGAAGTAGGTCTTATCTTGGTCTCTTTCCCTCAACACTTTTTCCATGCTTACCGTGGCTCTGGTCATCGATTCGGATTTGGTAAATCGTTGTCGCGGAGAGTTGAGCTAATCATTGTGCTAGAATGCGAGTCTACGCCGCCCCCCACATCAGTGAAATGGCAGGTTTAGCAACTCTCACCTCTCAATCTCAATGGGACCAGTACTTTGACTGTGTTCGGTACTGTTCTCAAAGCCAATCCCAAGGCAACGTTCGGCTTGCCGCTATCGAGGACGTGATGCAGCAAGCCCACGACATATACCTCCAAGGACTGGACTCAGCTAGTTGGGCCCTCGATGATGAGAAAAGGCGTGCGGCAGATGCCGATCCTGAAGATCGTATAGAGCGGTTCAAGATAACACTGGAGCAACTACCAGCGGATGGGCCGGGTGCCCACGTTCTGGTTTGGGCGATATTCTTGGTTGCTGCTGCCAGCTCATCGGAAACACACCGGGTGTTCTTTAAGGAGGTCCTACTCAAACGCTATAGTCAGAGCAGGTTCGCCAATTTGCTCAAAGGCATAAAGCATTTGCCGCAAATATGGGTTAAAACAGATAATGGAATAAGATGGACCCAGCTTTTATCAGAAGCTCGGCTGTTCGTCATGTAATATAGAGTTGCAATACGCAAAATTAAGGCTATTCTTTTCTGCAGACATCTGAAATACTAATTGATTCTCGGAACATATGTAGAGCAATGTGTTGCAATACAAGTCGCCTTCACTCGTTCTTTAGCACTGTTGTAACGCGATTCTTGAAGCAGATGGCAAGACTCGAGGTGGGAATAATGAGCTGACCACTACGGTCAATATTACTAGACTTTCCTTTCGTATTTCATTGCACTATTTTCCTACTTTTGAACTAAAAGTTGCCTAATAATCATGTCTATCAGATATCCTACAGTGGCATCCACCCCACTCTATCGTATATAGAACACGGGATACTTGATCAAGGAGAAGAAGGCGCTTTAGATAGGCCGGCCCTCCCGCCCGAAGTCGGTTTCCGGCAGATTAAGCCGTTCCCTTTCTCTTCTGACGCTGTGCATTATAAAGGCTTTTCGGTGTGACAGCAGTACCATTGCTTACCAGAGTTCCATTCGACACTGATTCGACAGGACCAGTGCTACCAATTGCCCAGTTGATACCAAGCGGAGGGCTTGAGACATTGACGCCTCCTCTGACATTCCAGGCCACTCCTGCATTGATGGGCCAGCCTTGACCCGACCCTGCGGTGCCGCGGTTCACGAACATGACATTGGCATTAGTATTTTCCACGAGGAAGCCGTGAGCCCAACGTTGATGTGGGTAAAGTTCCTGGAGGTCTGACTGTACGTGATGGCGTAGGACAGCGTTGGGCCCCGGGGCGCGGGCCTGCGTGATGACGGTGAACGCCTTAGCCGTCTTACGGCCATACTGGCCGCTGTCCTTAACGAGGACCTGCGTGCCAGATATGTTGATGTCCGTCGGGTAGCCACCGGGTCGGTCCGTGTCGCGATCGCGAAAGAAGCTTGCGTTCTCGATTGTAATCCGGCTCACGTTGTATTGCACGTCGATGCAGTTGTTAAAGCCCGTGATGTTGACGTTTCGTACAAAGCTGTCCACCGTCCAAGGGTTCAGCTGGATGGCCGGAGCATTGCACGGCTCTGACTCGTTGTATACCCTACCGGCGCAAGTCGGGCTTAGTGTGATAGACAAGTCCTCGATGCCGATCTCTGGGTTTGTCTCTGGTAAGTCGTAGGCTGCCACGTAAGGTTCCATGTACGTCTGGTCCAGTGCGTCGGTAAGGGGGATGTCTAAGGTGAGCTTGTTGCCGGACACGGCTTGGACGATGCGAGGTTGCTGGATCAAGTTGCCAATCTATGAAAAATTGTTAGTATTTTCATTGATATTGATTGGATGTGGTCCGTCATTGACTTACTGGCACCCAAGTTTGCTTCTCGCCATCTCGGACAAGGTCTGCCATGCCGTTTTGACGAACCCACTTCTCTGTAGCTGCCCGCGAGATGAAGACGGTCTGGCCTTTTGCAAACTGCTTGCCGTCTTCCACAGTGACAGTTCTGGCACCGATGCCTACGTACTTGTCGGTGATCTTGCTAGTAAACGAGGGATTAATGCGCCCGTTTGTGCCATTGCCCATTGATAGGAGAGGAAGTCCAGCCGTCTTCAATTTTGAGACGTCAAGAGTCGTGGACTCAACGCCCGAGCCTCTCAGTCGTGTGTTGGCCGAGATATTCAACCCTGGGGAGATGCGAAACGTCCCCGCTGCCAACTCAACAACGCCTCCTCCACTGGCAGCGGTTGAGTCAAGCGCGGCCTGGATCTCTTTTGTCCGGTCGCCCGACGAGGCCTTGACGACAACGGATGCGGCGGTAGAACCCGGGAGCGACTTGTCTGAGCTACGATAGCCACAGTAGCTGAAATCGGGAAGCTTGTCGCCACGGCTGTTTTTGATCGACTCCCAGTCAATATCCGCGGCGAGGACAAGCTGTCTTGCGGCCGAGAGCCATGACAGCACAGCGACGAATTTGACGCTCAGCATACTGGCCAGCGGGGGTATTAACACAGTGCACAGATGTGATTATTGCCCTCGTAGTGCGTACGGAGTTAATCCATATTAATACTCTGTCTCGTTGACACGAAGGATTTTCTACAGCTAAAGTTCGCAAGATTTGATTAGGTATGTTAATTCATGCGGGTGGCTTCTGGCTAAAGAACTTGCGTAATGCCGGACACGAAGCTACGGATCGAGCGGATCGGCACGATGATCGTGCAGGTTTTGAAACGAGCTGAAAATCTACGTGCCAACGGCCGCCTTAGCTGAGACGTCAGCGCGCTGTTTTGCATTCACGGCACTCCCAGTCCAGCTAGTCAATCATGGCTGTGCCACTGGGAAGAAGAAGCCCCACGCTGACCCTTCATTTGCTTTCAGTCATCTCAGATTGCACGCCGATTTCCCCAGCTTGGCGGGAGCCATTTTGAAGTGAGCTACCCGACACCACATCTCGGTGCAAGTCAAAGAAGTTACCTCAAAGCCGGCTTTCTTACGCAACTAGGTAACTACCTTAGGTATTTCACGATGGGAAGTGGGTTGTAGTTGTTCCAAATAAGGCAGGATCTATAACCTGTACCGCTCACTAAACGCCACATTAGCAACTCAGCTATTTTTAACCACAGAGCTGCACATAATCTGGCGATTGTTTTCACGTGGTCATAAAAATAAGCCTGGAGCACCATCTTATTGAAGACAGATCAAGGTGAATATTATTCATTTAATCAAGGTCTCTGCGCCAGTATTAGCAAGGCAGTGATCATTGTAATCCTGTGTCTTGGGTTCTTGCTGATTAATTCATGAAGCACGTACCCGATCCATAGGATACAAGCGAACTTCCAGCCGTCGACTCAATGATGGACGATTTTCCCCTACGTAGTGTTGAGTCTCATCTCTTCGATTGCTTGAATTCCATGGCATTATGTTAGGTGAGATAATGGAAGGGGCAGGAATCTCGGCCCTAATAACGCATAGTTTCCCTGCAACATCATCATAACTGTTGGTCATAGCCCCTCGTTTCTCCTTCATTAGAAAGACAAGATGAATCCGGTCCCAGCCTATGGCAATTACCTGCGGCCGAGCGGATGCCCAAAGTCTAGAAAAGCCATCAGGACGGTGATCAAATTCAGGCTCCTCCATGTCCCTGGATATTCAATGCTCAGCTTCATATGATCCCTTAGATAGAGCATGGGTCGGTTTAGAATAGAGAGAGTCGCTTTTCAGAATGCCGCAAAGAATTTGACACTGGCATACTTTTCACGATCCATTCACTTTGACTTTATCGCAGAGTCCAATTATGAGATAAATTATATGTACAGGATATTCGCATCTATATATCAGTCAACTACTGACTGGCCTTTCGGAGCTGGATTCTAGTCTTCCCATCAGTGTCGTCTCCGTTGGGCCACCAGAGCAATTTCCAGACGCCGTCCACTTCATGAGGCTGCGCAAACCACCAATCCTCCAGCTGTGAGCTCTCTGGGTTTTGAACGAATATCTGGGGGTTGTAGAGAGCAAAGTCGTCCACGAGGTTGGACAAGTCCGAGGCCGGATCTACGAAAACCACATCATGCTCAGTAGACCCGCTAGATGGCACAGCAATGCGCACTCCGGTCCAGGATGGGCGGACGCCGTTGGTCGCCCCTGGTGCGGCCGACCAGTGCGAAACAGCAGAGTCACCACGTTGAACTAGTACACGGTTAGATTTAAATGAGATAAAGCCCGGTTGGCTGAATCACTTACGGATGACGGGTGCGGCATCAGTGTTGTTTAATAGACTGTAGTCTCCAAGATATGCGGCCCCTATTGCGAATTTTGTGTCAGCGAGTACAACTCCTGAATTCTAATCAATAAGGTAAGCCTTACGACCATCAGAGAACAAAGGCTGGGCTGGAAATGCATTGCTAGCTTGGTATCCCTCAGCGCGGAAGGCATCGGTAGCGGCGATACTTGCTGCTAACGAGCGGCCTGTGAACACAAGCGCAAGAACTGAATAGAACTTCATGGTGTATCGCACTAGATAGGCGAAGATAGGAGGCTTGTAAGTGTTGGCAAAACTGACTGTAAACAAGGCCGGCTTTCAATGTCTATTAAGTAGTGGCGTGCTGGGCTTTGCTGCCCATTAATAGGGGGAAGAGGTGACCACACAAATGAAAATTCATTTCATTTGACACACGCGATGGGGCGATGAATCAGCACCAAAACGCTACCTTCTGCTCTGGATTTGATAGCTTCCTTATAGGGAGCGTAAGCTTGTTTGCGGTGTTAAAGCAATGTACCACGTATTGGCCAGAATGCGCTACCTTGTAGGATTGAGGGCAGGGGTATCATATTTGCCGCTTATGGTCCAAAATGTACCCCAAATACGCTGAAACCATCATCGAAATGGGAAGCTACACACTGTTCCTAGAAATTAGCAGGGGTCCAACAGATATACGTGCCCATGATATCGACAGGGTAGAGGATGCATAGTCGCGCCAAATCATGTGTACGCTGGCTAATCCTAGACCTACCTTCCTGTTTCTCTAGCCTAAGACTTTGAAGCATGACTTAATAAATTCATCATTGTTCAAGAATTGCCACCCTTCCACCAGTACAGAACGTCTGTAGTGGGCTGGAGTGTAGTCGATTATTAATATTTAACGAGTCTCGTCTATATGCGTCACATTTGCTTAATATCATGAATAATACTTCTGGCACTCCTCTCGCAAACCTTGCTGAGAGCTGTAGTCACGCCAGAATGGACCTCTGAAAGTTCGACGAATCGGTTCCGAACAACATTGACTGGAGAAACAAGCACCATCTTGTAGCATGAATCTCAACGCCTAGCTATAGGGTGCGTTAGCACGGTGAAAAAAAAATACTATGGCTACAACAGTTAGGAAGTAACCCATTGCCGTGCGTTGAACCTCTAACCATTCCTACCTAACGACTGGTTGAGAAAGAAACCCAAAGGATAAGGTATGAGAGATAATATCAACGTGCGCCAATGTATAATCTTCCAAGCCTCACTAATATATACGACTACTAATCCTTTTGATCTGTTTCTAGATACGCTTATGTTGACGGATAGAATGTCACTACTGATATTCAAGAACGAGCAGCCTAGAGGGAGTGACAAAGCTAACATTGTTATTTCTATCCACTTAATAACCTCGACACATTTCATTCACCTCATCCACGACCCCGGATCTCTCATCCCCTCCATCCTATAAGCCATTGCTCCACCGCTTCACTTTAAACTATTCTTCAAGATGAGCAGATTGAGTTTGCGAATCAAACTCAACGATAAGCTCTTCTAGAGAACATCATCAACGGACCTTCCTCATGCGAAGTCGCCTTGTCCTGTGCAACGCGTCAAAGGAGGGTTGTCCTGCTGCTTGGTGCACATGGAAATAGCGCCTTGAATCCAATCAACGCCATTGTAGCTCCCGTTTCCGTGGCTATCAGCATACCAGGTGCCAACCTGGGTAGCAGAGCCAATGCATCCACGGAAGAAGCGGCCAGAGCGTCGGGTCGTAATAGGCTTGGTGATCATAACGCCACAGTTACCATCCTTCACTGTACCTTTAGTAAGCGTAGATGCCGTGGTTGTCCAGGTCTCTGTATAGTCAACACGGAACGAGACCTTGAGAATATCCTCGATCAGAGTTTGGTCGATCCCCACGCTGGTAGTCACGCCATTGGCGATGCTGTAACCATCCGTGACGGTAATATCCATGTCTCCAGCGGCGGCACACAATACCGGGGACATCTGGACGTCCCAGTCGATAAAAGTTTCGGTCTTGTCAGTGATAATGTACTCAGTCTCGCTGCAACGTTTGTCAAGGCCTCTTTTGGTCCCGCGCCTTGTGTTAACATTTGATGGGCTGGTCGAGACCCAGGATGAGTCAAGTTTGGGGGTTCCAATTGTGACACCCGCATCTTTCAAAATGGCAAGGTATTCGTCCGCCTTGGCGACATATGCTACTTAACTATTAGAACTCTGTCTCTGTCGCCATTTGTATCGATCAACCCACAATTATTGCCAAAACCAACAATCACCTCGTCTGACTTGAGGGTATAGGTAGGTTCCCACTTAGGTGCATTCTTGAAGGCGATTTCCTCCAGAGCCATGCCACCAGTGATGGCCGTGAGGGAAACGGCGATGTATTCAAAGAAGCGCATCGTGGTCAAGAAGTATACAGTTATCGTAATAATGAAGATGGGGGGGAAATAACTCGTGAATGATGAGGAGCTGTGACTTGTGGTGAAGACTCTTTCTTGGGCAGAGGAATCACTAACTATTTAACTAGTTGATATCACGAGTAACAGGACGTCGTAGCACTTCTCGGTCTGATTTCTATCCAACAACAGCTTCATGCAAATCCTTTCTCATTCTATCCTGAAACCCCTCATATACTGTCACTGCCCTGACTACCAAACTTGAACATGCATCGGTCATGCCGAACGGGACCACTTGACTCGTCAGCTCATTTGATTGATTCTAGCAGTGAAGCCTCACTCCCTTGTCTTCTTGGCTTATTTGAGTAGCACTTCTGTGTCTTGACAAATTTTTTGGGCACTGAATCCCTGGAACATGAATGAAGTAGTTTGCTGAATGCTACGATAGTGGTTGGTTTTGAAACTCTTGAGTCACAAGGGTCATCAAACTGCTAGCATCTGATTCGCGGAGGTTGAAGTTTGCTGTTTCTAAGTCTTGCAACTGTGTCACTGGCTATATGTGGGTCCGAAAATCTTGCAGATACGGGCTGCATGACAGTTGAAGTGGATGGTTTCAGGTGCTATTGATTTCTTAGTTTGGAGGGTTAATATCTTGAACTTCAATACGTAGTCGATACCCCAGCATTTGAACTATCTCTAACGCTCAAGCCAAGAAAAGAACCCTATCCCGCTTGTATAAGTAGACGGTATTGCACTACTAGCCAAGTTCTTAATCAAATGACAACATTCTGCTTTCCCTCAACGATCTATCATACAATCATATCAGCCACTATGAAGCACTCTATCGTTGTGTTGATTCTCGCAATCGCTACAAGGTAGAAAGCCCATCTCAAAAGCTCGTGCTGTATTGCTAACAGTCAATTTTCTGAAAGCGTCCAAGCCGACCTGCACAAGTCTGCAGCATGCGTTACCGGCAGGGACGGATCAAGCTTTGAGCTTCTCCCTAACGCGACAAAATGCGCCTGCGAATTCTATTTCCAGCGCAACACCGGCGACAAGCAGTGGGACCAATGCCCCGACTGCACTTTTGTAGGTTACAATCCACACATTGAGAGTTCTTGAAGCTGAGTCGAGATTTCAGGACGGGGCTCTCTGCAATTCGGCTAACAGCCATATCGGAGGTGATGAGGTAAGAGACGGCCTTGACTTGAAACTACAAGCTTTTGCTAACCTTCCTACTGTTCACCTATTATTGCGAGCAGAAGTGTGGAGCGCAGGGCGCCGAGGCGGACTAAGTGTTGAACATAGCCTTCCGTTTACTAGCCTAGTTGCGTTGCTTTTCCAAGGAACGGGGGTGCCGAGATGGGTTATCGTCTAGGATCATGTAGATGTGCCAGGCTGGGCGTGTTAGAATAGTACCAATACTGCAGTGATTTTCGCTAGGTCCCACCAAAAACCGTTCAGTTTTCTCTGTTTCGGACCGTGCCGAACTTAGCCCACGTGTAATTGCAACCTCGCGTAGCCTAGATTAAATTAGAAGATGTCGTATCCCTTCCAAATGCATCTGCAGCATGAACAAGATGACGCCACTGGTGACATTCGATGCTACACAGTGTTTTCTGTCTTCCCTGCGCAACTTGCCAAGTCTACTGGCGGAGATTATAGGGTTCTAGAAGCCATAATTTGTTCGATATCTGAAACTTGCATTACTGGGCAGTGTCATCCCGATAGGTAGGCGGGTCCGTTTGGCTGAAATGTTCGACGAGCTGACTGTAATCCGGGGGATCGTCGCCATGTTCCTGCATCTTCATGTCGATTCGACCTAGGCTCTTGGCTAACCGGTATTGTTGAACTACACTAAGAAACTATTTCCTAAAGCTGAAAGATTTAATCATCTCATTTAGTAGTGAATCATCACAGCATTTTCCCTTTAGAAAATGTGTTGATTCTTACTTGGCTCTGTCCTATAGGCAGTGATAAGTGCCTGGTTGTTGTGGGCTTTGTCGGGCTGCTTTGAAGCTTTCAAGCATCTTGTATCTTGCCCGCCAGAAGAGGAATCGAAACAGAATCGTCATAAAGTTCGGGGATGGTTTCGGGAAAAGGTGAAACAGTGGGTACACATCGACCATTGGAACGAATTGGAATAGAATCGGCATAGAACTCGGGGGTGATTTCGGGAAAAGCTCAGCCAGTGGATACATGGGATGATGCCAAAGCAGGGGTATGTGACTGAGCCTTGAAAGGCGGGATCCACCAGGAGTTGGTATATGCTCATCACTTCAGCATAGTATTTTCATATATATGATGAAGGGGCCCAAAACCCAGGGGAAACCTTGAAGCGAGGTTTCAGGTCCTTTGACATCATTGCCGCCTCGCGGGTCGTGGCAGCAGCGGCCCGTGGAAGCAACGGGCCGTGGCAAGGGATGCATGTCACTGGTCACGCAAGCTTTGAAATCAGTTCGGCCTCACCGTTGTGAATCATTGAGTGCTACTCTTCTACTTCCAGTCTATCGAATTTCTTGCTACAACGTATTTAATTATTTTGACTCTTTTCCGCCTGATCGATGAAATTGATCGGATGCCACGACCTAAGATGGTCTCTATTATACTTCACATGTGAATACAAACACTAGCACTTGCATTATCCGCCCAGTTCTTCTTACCCATCAAGAGCTAAGACCTCAGAAGAACATGGAGACTGTTATTGCAACAGTGACTTTGACCGGGAGCCTTCTTTCGAGTATTGCGAACGCTTTTGTTCTCGTCTCATTCTTCATCTACCGCCATCAAATCCGTCATATGCGACATACATTAGTCTTGAATCTCACAGCTGCTGGTAAGAACTCACAGGCTGGTATTTGATGGAAACTAACCATTCCATACAATAAAGAATTCATCAATTCTCTGACAAACTCTGTGTCGGGCATCATACGCTTACGAGATAGCCAACTTCATCCCGGCGTTGGATGCACGATCCAAGGCTTTCTTGGGCAGCTTTCAGTGCAAGCGGCCGATTTCTCCATATTCTCTATCGCTCTAGTCACTCTTCTAGTCGTGTTGAGAATTGGCAACATATTGAATGCATCGCTTCGGATGATGATTCTTGTGTGTGTTGCTGTCTGGGTCATTCCCGTGATAACTAGCACCACCGCTACTGCTACGGATAGTATAACAGTCGTTGGTGGGAATTGGTGTTGGATCTCGTCTAGCCGTCCTGGCATGCGACTGGCCCTCACCCATAGCTGGCGATTCAGCGTTATATCTTCTACTATCATCATACACATCTGTATCTGGGGGTACTTGAAGTGGCAGTTCAGCTCAAACCCTGCCCGGCAAACTCGACCCCATGACTCGGCAAGGATACCTCTGGTGGGTATATGTCCCTCGCGACCTCGGGGGATGATAGTATATCATGGGATACGATACGAAGAGACCGATTGCAATCCCTTGAATCACGACAGATCATCCAGTCGGACAAGTATGCACAAAGGTCTAGACAGGGCAGCGAGCACGCCGAGACACGAAATAAAAGAGCTGGATTTGAAAATACCAGAGGCAGCTGTACATCCAGCACATGGCCGCGACGAGGACAGCAATCGACAGTTGGCAATGCGAACAAACGCTAGCGAATTCCCCACACGATCAGAATCCCGCCCGATTGAGCGAGAAATTAGAAGAATGCTCCTGCTCAATGCGTATCCTATCATGTATGTCATTCTTTGGATACCAGGCCTTGTGGGCCGCTTTATGGAGGCAACAGGTCATCCGCCATCAACGAGGACAATAGCTGCACTCCAAGTCTCGACCCAGTTTATAGGGTGTGCGAATGCGTTGACCTATGGATTTGACCGTCATTTACGGCACAACCTTGAGGGGATCTATGTAAGAAAGGTTCTGCCCAGGATCAAACGCAATTGGTCCTTATGGTATTAAAGGAGTGGTATATTGAGCATAATCATGATGCTAGAAATGGAACCTTTTTGAACTACACATGTATATTAATTACGACGGAATGATACTTCAGTTAAAACACATCCCTAGATCCGCATAGCTATATGTGTATGGCATGTATTTAATGAACGTAAATTGTCACTAATTTGCGAGTATCAGATAAAGTTAAATGGATGGAATGCGGAGAGAAAGTGAGAGCTTACAACCGAATCTAAGCTGCATTTGATTACGACGAGCTGAGGCGTGCGAGAGGGCTATTGAGCTGGGTTGTTGGACGAGGAAGATAAGGAGAAGAGCATGTGTTCGTAAATACCGGACCAGAACGATAACTCCAACGAGGATGGATGGAATAAAGTTGCCAGGAGGGCTGCAGTTGTCGTCTTCGTCGCTGCTGCCATCACCCTTCTTACGCTTGCGCGGAGGTTGGCTACTCCAGGCAAAAGTCTCCTGCCATTCGTCATACAGTACTAACTGACCCGATTTCTTCTCCATATCCGCTGGTCCCTCTCTTCTTGAAAAGTTTGCACGATGAAATACGAGAAAAGTATCGATCGAGGGCTGGCTTGATGCATGGTAAACAAGCACATATAAGCCCACACCATGTCTCGATGAGACTCCATTTGACGCTATTCCCCCAAGCATAGGTCGTATCCGGCTCCTTGTCCGTCTGAATGGTTATCACGGGCCGCAGTATGCTGACGGCGGAGACACTAGCAGAATTAGCATATAGCATGGTATGCTCAGAGTTTGGAAATACATACAATCCGCCTCCCAATAGCACTATGCCAATAGCGATCTTTCGGCCGGTTGATGTTTGTAATGGACGAAGTATCCAGTACGGTAGTAGCAGAATTGCGACGTCGGTCGCCACATTCAACGCCGCACAGACGATGTAGGCCACAAAGAGCCGATTACACTCTTCTGGGTCAGAGCAATCTAGCGCAAAGGTGGCGATGATGTTCACCAAGCTGTACGCTATGACTACTGCGAGAACGGCGTGTATAGTGACATTAAGAGCACGGTTTGCGGTGAACCGCTGGTAGAACATAAGAATGCTCGCCTTAATAAACACCGTGGTCAAATTGTAAAGCGGGACACCACCCCACCTGCCTACCTGTTTGCATATATCAATATCGTCAACACATGCTCAAATTACGGATTATGGTGACTTCGGGAGACATCAATTCCGTACATTAAGGAGCAGCTCCAAATTTGATGGCGAAAAATTGAAGAGGTGATCACCCGCACCAAGACGAGCCTCTGGAGCAATACTTGTTAGCATTTTCTTGATGGATGGTAGTAGTAGAGAGGCGCCTGTTACCTATACAAACCATTGCTGAATGAAGGATCGCAAAAGTCTATTCAACATTGAAGGTTGGCCTATGTCAAAGATAAGTAGGTTAACGACAAGTCTTACCGTTGCGATCATGGCGAGAGCTGAGCAAGTGTTAGTTCCAACACTGACTTTCAGGTAAATCTGCTCATTAGGTACGTACTATCATCTGGGTGCCATCTCCTGACAATGAATTTACTTGTCCAAAGACGTAACACGACAAAAGGGATGGAGAAAACGGGGAGAAGGATCGCAGTGAGAAAGACATCCGTGCTACGGCCTCCTGTATGCGAAAATGTGCCTGGTGGTGCCTCCAGCATATCCGACATGGTAACGAGAGCCTCCTATGATTGACTGAGATGGTAAATGAGATGTTATGAAAAATGGAGAATGGTGCAATTTATTGAAGAGCCAAATGTAAGGAACAGTACTATTGGTTCGCATCTGTGTGCTGCGTTAGCAAGAATGAACCAGACACACTACCTAAAACTAATTCAAAAACTTGATGAACTTTAATTCAGACCCATCAGATCCTTTGATGACAACCTCAAGTAGTCGAAATATAATGGCTAATGTGGTTTGTTAACATAGATCTCGAAGTCAAAAAATTACATAGGAGCATCGCCAGTGTGATAAGGGGCTTATAAACAGCATTCCTGCATTGGCTGATAATGTTGAGGCAGCTAAATTTTTACAAAACAACTAATTTATCTTGGCTCGAGATGACCCCAAATTTTCAAATAGGTCATCTCGAACTCAATCTGTAAATCAAGATTGAGCGGGTGTGCACCATTTGCGGGAATCAGCCTGAGGGAGGGGGGATTGTAGGGCTTATTGGTAGTTGGAGTGGAGGCGAGACTGAAATTGTCCCCAAGAATTACATTCTTGATGTAGCTATGGCGCCGGTCACAAATGATGCTCGTGTTGTTTTTCATACTGCGCTTTGCTGTCGTTAAGCAATGGAATTGAAGTTTAATTCGGGCGCTACCACAAAGCTCTCATCTTTATGTGTTAGTCGTGGTTCAATGCCAGGCATGATTAGCCATTAGCTTCTTTTTCATTAACTTCATTCATCTCTTTTACTTGATATGATAGAAGCTGTTATATCTTACCTCCTATTCTTCATAGTGCCGATTTTGAACTTCTACGATAGGCCCACTCGCTATTATCAACCTTATCAATACGGTATACGTTTATATTAAGGTAATTTGTGCGAAATTTTGCCCTTTCCTTCCAGCATTCAGTTTTGTTGGCTTAATCTTCGGGCCAAGAGGCACCCTCGTGGTCGCACACCCAAGTCATGGCATCCTCTACCAACGCCCTATGCGCTTGGACATAGCTTTCCACTTTGAACCATCTAATCAATACAAAGCACGTTGAATAAAGTACCATGATGATTTTTGTCTTTAATATGATGTCTGCCCTAATTGCTCTGTCGGCTGTTTTCACTCCAGAAGGGGAGATTTGCCTCCATCCGAACAGCACCATACATAGACGAACTATCCAAGGACTCCCCAGCGTACTCCCGCGCAGCTGTTAAATGACCAAGTGCCGCCTCCAATGTCTTCAAACGCGTGCCGTTATTTTGAGCCATTGATAAAGCGTGTTTGCAATCCTTGGTGGCTAGAGCCGCTGAGAAGCCAGGGGTGACATCCAGAGGAGGCGCGTAGGCACCTGAAGTCATACGTTTCGAGTAACTTTGCAGAACAGGTCCAAACATACTCCCAATAAACTCTTCCATCTGTGCCGTTCCGAGCTCTGACTTCTCTGCAAAGACCTGGGCCTCGGCAATCAGTTCTTGGAATCCAAGCACAAAGATATTGCTGGCAGAGTTTAGTGAGTGAGTTTAAGCATAGAATCGGACAATGAAAGCCATACCCGGAGATTTTCAGAAGACTTGATTTACGAACATCTTCCCCCATTTCAATCATCTTTCGGCCCACGACATCGATTATAAAGGGCCGTAACCGTTTAATGGCACTGGCTGTACCAGCAATGGCGAATATGAGCTTTCCCTCGGCCGCTACCGGACTGGCCCCAAATACAGGAGATGCCACAAACGTAGAGCCTCTCTCCGTGAGCTTCGTAAAGCATCTATAGCATGTTTCGGGGTGCACCGTGGAAGTGTCGATCCAGATCTTCCCCTGCATGTTGATGTCTTTCTGCAACGCCTCGGCGACAAGCTTCTCCAACACTTGGTCATCGGTAATCTGTCTAACGTGAGCAATTTCTCGGGTGCTTTTGGGTACCAGACGTGCTCCTACCATAGTGAAAATGATAGATGATCGGCTCACTAACTCCTGAAACTCAGATTCCGGTATAGCCCCGATCTTTTGAAGCTCCTCCCCTTTCGACAGCGTGCGATTACTGTATCGCAGAGGAGCCATTCCTTGTGCAGATAAATGCCTCTGGAGGTTCAGCGCCATCTTGATCCCCATGGATCCAAGGCCATACTATGCCATTCGATGGTCAATGGAATTAGTGAAAATCGAGCGAAACTGTACATACCCAACCAATTGTCTCTGGCTGCATTTTGATATTCGTTTCTTTCGGCTGACAGATGGGCAAAACGGTCACGCAGGGATCATGCGAGCGATTCTCAGCGAAGTTTTCTCACGGCAGATGTAACAGACTCTTGAGGACCTGGGTTATTTACCAGTATTGAAATAGGAATGTTCAAATTTCCAACAAGTGGTCAGAATATCCAGCCAAGCTAGAGGCGGAGCTCCACCACCACCACCTCCACCTCGGGAGCTCCTCGTGGTGGAGTATATCAGGCCTCACTCTAAATCCAGAAGAGTAAGTATGTTGTAGGCAATCTATAATATGGATTCCATGTCCACCTGGTGGAGGGTGTCTCGCCTCCTTTTCTTCACATCCAGTACAGTGAACTAAGCCTTATACAGCTCAGTATTTACCATCATATTACGGACTATTCTACAGGCAAAAGCGCGAATGAATCACAAGCCGGGTCAGCAACAAGATTTTCCATAAACGGCCCAATTGCCCAAACACTCCTCTCCTTCCAGAACTGCAGCACAGCTTCCTTGAATCGCACCTCGCTCGTACTGGGGGCCATAACATGTGTTGTCCCCTGCACCATCCGTTCTTGTTCGGACAACACAGCCTCCATGATCGCATTCAAGACTACGTTTGGTACAGTGAACCGACGCTCTAGTGAGAATACTGGTTCTTCTCCTCCATTCTTGTCACGGACTTGGCCAGCAGCCCATCGCAGAGAACGCCATACCGTGAGGATCACGCGATAGGTAGCTACGGACGTCCATGGAGCCTCGGAAAATGCATCTTGGCGGTTCTCCCCAAGGACTTGGTGAAGAACATCTGAGATATCATCAAGCATCACAAGGATGACGTCGTCGCCTGTGATATTGTCGAGGAGCGATTGCAGCGACCGCCTTGAGCCAGAATATTGGCCCAGAGCCAGGTGCGTTGCCGTGGCCAATCCAGCGAAAATATTGCTGTCGACGATTCCGCCAATCAGCAAGTCATCCGGCTTGCAGAGTGATATCCTCACGTCCAGCACCATCCGCTGGATTGTCGTCCATAGTGGCTGGTTTTTCGCATCCCAGTGGATGTCTTGATCGGTTGAGAGCCGCAGGATGTGTTTCAGCGCGGCAACAACCTGCCGCGTCTGGGTCTGCGTGAGAATGTGATAAGCTGAGGGGTCGGCCAAATTTGGGGGGAGTTGGTAGTAAGAGCGTGTGAAGTCCCGGACCAAAGCATCGATGCTAGTCAAAACGAAGAGAGTGGTGAAAGGTGACGCTGCCAGGGCGGCAAGTAAAGCAGGCCTCGGGGAGTCACTCATCAGAGACTGCATCGCCAAGGTTAGTGACTTGGTGGTAGGGCAAATCAAACTAAAGTCTGTCGCTGACTCTCTTAGGCGCTTGACCCGCGAGTCGTCGTTCAGACTTCTCATCCATACCACTTCATTCTCCGCTTCCCAGAGCATGGAGGAAAATGGGAGTTCCCAGTCCATATCCATAGAAGATGTAATGGATCTGATATTACAGGGATAAAAAATGTGGAAGTCCAGAAAAAGAAGACTATAGATGGCAAGTTTCATGGCTTCTTCCTCCACGTAACTCATCCAGTTCTCATGCAATGATGGGGCGTGATTGTCGGGAGAATCATCATAGGCTTGAATCCATGATCGGGAGGATGTTAGAACTAATGTTTGCGTGAGCAAGCCGAGTTCCTGCGAAGCCTTTTTCCCTCGACCCGAGTCAGCCTTCTGTCACTCTCGGTTCACAGTATGCGTCCATACATCTACAAGAGCGCGCAGCATCTTTCTGGCCTTGCTATAGTGCGAAGGCTCGCCCATGTAGGCGCCATATATAATGCACAGGATCGAGGCTTGAATAACACCTGGTTTCCGGAGGTTCTGCCAATCTGAATCCATCTGCAAACGCCTTATAGTTAGAGAAGCCAGAGCTACGGAGAGAATGGAAATTCTCACAATGGAATATAGGTGAGCGTAAACAGTCTCCCAGAGATCTCGGCTTTCACCCAGACCAGACGCAATTCCATCTTCAGGGAGTTTCCGAGCGCTGTAAACACTGCCTATCGCAAGAACCATGCTCTTCAGAGATTGAGGGCCCGTACCAAGTGCAGTGGATCGATGGAGCAGCGGAAATGAAGGGTGGAAATAATCAAAGTATGCTGATATGTGAGAGTCATAGCGTGTCTTGAGAAATCTAGCCGAGGTGTCGCTGTTAGTAAGTGACGTTATGGCACTTGAGCAGAAGGAAGTGTCTACCCATTATCTGGTGGAGAAACGTCACAGACTGTGTGTCCCCAAGAATCTCGGCGATCCTCTGGGCTGATAACGGCGACCTTTGGACTTGTAAAGGCCTCCTGTGGACTAACAGATGAGCTTTGAATCCGGATCGTTTCCCTAATTGCCTCTTCGGATGCTTCTCGGCGAGAGGGGTGAGCTGGGATGCCACGGCATCTCTCGACATGGCGTTTGCACACATCCCTTCTTGAAAATGATGCGTTGCAGGAGAAACATGCATATGGCTTATTGCACGTGCTATCCCCATGTCCTGCTCATCCAAACCAGTCAGCTCCGCTGGCCAAGGATCTGTAGGGAAATGAAGGGCCGTACTAGATCGTCTATGTCGCACTAGGTTCTCCTACGGGATCGGAAGAGGTCAGTGCTTCCGAATAGATGGTATGAATATAGATCGGCTCACATTTCGTGTGAATGTCTGCGAACATGCGCTGCAGGCAAAAGGGCGATCCGAACCCATCTCAACTCTTTATCAGGGGCAGCCAGGTGTGTGCAGTGACAAACTTGGTTTTGATATCGAGTTCTGAAAGTATCGGTTTGTCTCAATCTATCCAATGAAACATGAATTTCTGTAGGCTTGATTGGACCAGATAGCAGTTGAATGAGTGATCACGAAAGCCAGCATTTCCGGGGTCTCATCCCCCTCCCCTTGGAGAGGAGAAGCTGTGTGTGTATGTTCTTGCTGAGTCACCTATCTCATGTGGGAGGTGTGGAGGGAGTGTGGAGCTCTAGTAGGCTAACGATTGCAACTCGGTAAGTGATTGGATGGTACAAAGAGGCTGAAATGGTGCTGAGGCAAGTGCGTCGTGTGCACATGAATAATGCACTGAGATTATGCACTCGAGACATACGCTAGAACAGAACAGGAATGGCAGTGTTTTGCATAAAAGCATAATTTGGACCAGCATCTTGATACGCACCTACCCTGTAGCACCAGTCTAAAATACGAGTACTATTCAATTGCGTTGGAAGCAAATAGTCGGAAAGAGCTCATGCAATGAAGAATGCCTTCATTATTAGGTAGGTGCTCTATGAAGTGTGCCATACCAAGTTCACACAACTTGAGTCGGCTTGGCCTTTGACATAAGTAACAAGGAGTAGAAAACGTGAGATGCTGTCATACTATGTTTTAACGCGCATCTGACCCAAGACATTTCATCAAAGTCGCCTCGGTTATCATCCGCAATTTAAATGATCACAAACAACAATATTCGGGTATCATCCGAAGCGATTTAGCCATCATCATTCATGGCTAATTCCATAACTTCATATTCTAGGATCAAAGGGCGACTGTTGATTGCTGGTCCGAGCTATTGAGCGATCCTCCGCTCCATCAGGTGAGCCAATCATAAGGCGGCCCAAGGGTTTGCAGTGTCAGAATTTGGCGCTGCTGAGCTCGAGTCATGGCTCAGAAGGACCCGCCACAATGTCTCCATTCGGCTACTCTGATGGAGCTCCACGGCCGATTCCAAGTCATGCCCATGAATCTGCGCCCACAGACGTGGAGCTCCACCAGCACCAATGCAAACCTTAATGAGTCGCCTCTCGGATTTTCTCAGGCTGGAACAGCCAACCCACAATCAGTGCGGGGGGACTTTGACCTCCCCCGGATTTTGCTATCAGGTTTGTGCAGGGGAGGGAGATAACCCTGGCGCTTGAAGAACAAGATCTGGAACTGATACCACGGGAACCTCGGGGGAAAGTCAAGGGGGCCAACGCTGTACCCTGTCCAGCCCTCAGATAACCACGCGTTACCGTAATCCAACTACGTGTGCGGCCTGTTTCTGTTCATCCATTAGCCTCATGGATACGCCCTGCCTACATAAACCCCCCTCGGTCTCTCATGTTTCCTTTAATTGACTCTGGATCCTGCCCAAATCTTCATTGAGCCCATCGACCCAACAGATATACGCATTCTGGACCATCTTCCATTGATATCCCTTACTCTTCGTCATCGAACACTGTCATGTCTGCTGATAATCAAGATAAAGTTGACGGCGGGAATATTGTTCCCATAAGATCAGATGTCGACAATGGTATGACAATAGAGAAGGAGATTGGGCATTCCAAAGACGTGGACCCAGCTCTTGAGTTTATGGGTGGAGAGCAGATTGAATTCACTGAAGAAGAGGAGAAATCTGTCCTGCGCAAGATTGACTTTGCTCTTGTTCCTCTCTTGTGCTGGATATACGCCCTGCAGTTTGCTGATAAGACCTCACTCAACTATGCCTCCCTGATGGGCATTCGCGAGGATACCAATCTGGATCCCAATAGCCAGGAGTACAGTTGGGCCTCGAGCATCTTCTATGCTGGCTATATCATGTGGGAGTATGTCAAAGTCTTTGTTGTTCTTTTTGGTTATATCACAGCAACTAACTGATGGTGTTAGATTTCCTACAACCTACTTCCTTCGAGCCCTGCCGCTAGGTAAATACACATCAGCTAACATCGTCCTTTGGGGCCTTGTAATCATCTGTCACGTATTTGCGATGAACTATGCCGGTCTTCTCTGCGTTCGATTCTTCCTCGGTGCCCTCGAGGCCACGGTCACGCCAGCATTCGTGCTTCTGACGTCCCAGTGGTACAAGCAAAACGAGCAAGGCCGACGAATGGGACTGTGGCTCAGCTGTAATGGTGTTGCCCTCCTCGTTATGGGACCCATCGCGTACGGCCTGTCTGGCGTCACAGACTCGCCCCTGGCAACCTGGAAAATCCTCTACATAGTTCTTGGTATACCGACAGTTTTTTCCGGCATCTACTGCTGGCTACGAATGCCCGACAACCAAACCAATGCGAAATTCCTCAACCATCGGGAAAAGATGATTGCAGTCGAACGAATCAGAAAGAATTTCCAAGGAATCGGAAGTCGCAAGTGGAAGTGGTCCCAGTTCTACGAAGCCTTCCGTGACCCTCGAACATACCTCTATGTGTTGTTTTCGATTCTCATGAACACCCCGAATGGCGGCATCACGTCCTTCGGATCTATTGTGATTAAGTCATTTGGTTTCAGTTCTCGTCTTTCTCTTTTACTCAACATGCCGACTGGGATTGTAGATATTGCCTGCAAGTTGGGATTCACCTACTTGTCGGACAAGTTCCTGGACCGTTCCTTGTTTGCATTCATCGCGATTCTGATTCCCATGATTGGAGGCGCCATGATGGTCGTCATCCCGCTCTCTGCCAAGGCCGCTTTACTCGTTGGATACTACTTTATCGGGGCGGCAGGCGCCTCTTGGTGCCTGGTCATGACCATGATATCTAACAATACTCTCGGATACACCAAAAAGGCCACAGTCAACGGACTCCAGATCCTGGCCTACGCAGCCGGAAATTGGATTGGTCCTCAAACTTTTCGCTCGAACGAGGCTCCGGAATACTACCATGGAAAGATGATGGTGGCTATTATGTATGGCTGCGCGGCTCTTACTATTGTGGCACTTCGTTATGTCAATGTGTGGGAGAATCGACGTCGTGATAAGTTGGCTGCTGAACAGGTACAGACAGTGGTTGCGCAGGATTCGTCTACTGCGTTCTTGGACCTCACAGATTTTGAACAGCGGGACTTCCGATACATACTGTAATAAATGGACCCGGGATCTTAGGGCAGTCTGTGGCGTTGGTAGAAAGAGGCTGGCTGTTGGATGATGCGATGGGTTGATGTATTTATTACATGGTAGTAATGTGAATAGTGGAGTTCATTCATCTGATGTAGCTCCCTTTCTATATGACTGTGAAATTGAGCTAATTGTGTAGATATTAATTGTACTTCCTTTCGATATGTGAGATACCGATAGTGATAACACTTTCCCTTTCCAACCACACTTGACAGTTCGGTGAGAAAAGCAAGCATTTCGAGGGTTCAAAGGCTAACAGCGATGTACCATCACGAATAGCCATGCACTGAAATGTGGATCCAATAGAACGACAATCTACTTTCTGTCAATGAAGCCCTTTAAAAGAGAATTATCAATCCCTAATAGTTGTTCATATTCGGGAAGAAAAGTTGAGAAGGAGGTACAACAAAAAGCAACGGTAAGAGGTAGATCATATTTCTAAACGAGATATAAGAAGATGGGAGAAAGAAAGAAAGAATTGGGGGTAAAGTGCAAATTTAAATATCTGTTTAGAATTCTATCAGAAAGATATCTAGGTATTTACAAGAAAATCCACAAAATCTTCATCAGGCAGTGCAGGCTGCAAGCCCGTATCATCCAGCGGACCGAGATACCATGTCAGATCACTTCCATCTCCTTCACGTGCCGCAAAACCATTTCCAAAGTAAGCGAAACGGTTAGCCGTAGTGTATTTAAGAACAAAGTCCTCCCATCGTGGGCTCGCGATGGTTTCAAAGAACTGAATACGTGATCCAGGCCACATCATTGGCTCACCGTCAACCGTACCCTGTTTGAACCAAGATCGGCAAGGGGACGTCCATGCCGTGCGAGGCAAGAACTTGCGCCTGTGCTGAGCAAAGTCGGCAACAGCTTCTTCCTTTGGAGCAAAGGAGGTGATTTCTTCCTCTGACATTTTCTTGAGGACCTGCATTACATAGCGGGAGACGGTTTCGGTGATGGGAAGGAAGCTTCCATGCCCGTACGGCCCAAATGGACCATTGAAAACTACATCTGGTTAGATTTTGTCTTTTTGTTGTCTTTTCTGGAACCAAGGGACTGGGAACATACTGAAGTAGTTAGGCATGTTTGCTACTGCCAACGAGAGATAGGTGTTCGGGACATCAGCCCAATACTTGCTGAGATTGACTCCGTGTCGACCAATAGTAGGGTATCGGGGTTTCCAGCTGACATCGAAACCAGTGGCACAAACAATGACGTCGAAATCATGTTCGACCCCGTCGCTAGTCCTGATTCCATTGGGGGTGATCTCGGTTATGCTGGACGAGACAACCGCTACGTTATCCTCGCACAAGGCTTCCAGATAACCATTTCCAGGCGTGGGACGGCGGCATCCAACCGCAAAGTTCTTTGGGACAATCAAGTCTGCAATCTCAGGCTTGCTAGCAAGCCTGGTTCTCATATCTTTCTCGGCGGCCTGGAATTTGAGAGAAATATACGAGTTAGTTTGGACTCACAAAATCGCATTAATATGATTATGCTTACATTTCGAGCATCCTGTTGCTCTTTTGAGCCGTTCAGAATGAACCTAAATCGAGAATTGAGCTCAGACTCGATTCTCTTTCTGTATGCGAGATATTTCGTTGGGTCATTGCGAAGAATTTCTTTCTGCTTCTCGGAGTCTTTGGCTCTATGTTAGCAAATGAGCTAAGGACTGTTATTTTGGAAGCACTTACATTCGAAATTGGTTCCACCTTTACCTGCGAATCGCTGACCAAAGGAAGCGGTAACCCAGGCAGCACTTCGAATGAAACACTTCATGTGTCCAACAACTGGAAAGCGAAAGTGTTAGCTAGATGTTCGTGGATTATGAGACAAGAGTAAAGGCCTACCTGGCTGGATGCTGGGAACGATTTGTACAGCGGACGAACCGCCACCAATAACTCCCACCCGCTTTCCTTTCAACTCAATGCTGTCATCCCAGTTGGCGCTATGGAGCATTGGGCCCTTGAATGTCTCACGGCCGCTGATATCAGGCCATTTCCATTTGCTGACGTATCTATATTAGTATGAATTCTATCACTTAGATTCGGCCTACTTACTTGAGGACACCACTGGCATTAACGAAAATGTCGGCCTTGTCGGTGATGACATCTTCGGGGTTGTTGCCTTGCTGGATTCGGACATGCCACTTCTGCTCTTCTTCTACCCACGTTGCACCAACCACAGTATGATTGAGGCGGACATACTTGTTAAGGTCATACTTCTCCGCAACATCTTTGAAGTATTTCAAGATTTCCGAAGCGCTGGAGTAGCTGTGATGAGCGTTAATATCGATTCCTGAGGAAGTATAGAAGGTTCAGGCTTACTAGTGCGACCATTCCGTCGATGGTGCCCATGAGAACTGGTAGTTCACCGAGGGGATATCGCATCCACATCCCGGATAGCGGTTTTCGTACCAAGTACCTCCGATAGATGGGTTCTTCTCGTAGCAAACCAAGTCAAGGTCGAGGGAGCTGATGCTAACTTCATGAGCGAGATTTAGAGCGCTGGCACCGCCGCCCAAACAGATGATGCGTATTTTTCGACCAGAACGACTGGGTTTTTCCAGAATCTGGTACTCCGATGCGCTTGCCACAAAGGCACTGTCTAACGAGGGCAGGGTAGCTGATGGGCTCATTTTCGCGGTTGAAGTGGAGGCGGCTGGAAGGGATATGGTATCGAACACTGACCACCCGCGGTATAAAGAGATGCTAGAAAGATATCGAGGACAGCAACCGGACATTTAAAAGATATTCTTCAAGTCAATGGTTACAGATGAGGTTCCTATTTTGAGACCATTTGGGAGAAATCGTATGTTTCGGGTCAAGAACTGCGTATCGCACTCGCAAGCCTGCCTCCACCTCCACCTCCACCTCCTCTCTCCACCTCCCACTGATAGGCTGGTCAACCTCCACCTCCACCTCCACATACCTCCACCTCCATAACGAGAGGCTAGACTTCTCAGCTGAGCAAGGAGGGTCGTTAAGGTTTCTGCTTAGGAAACTTTATCGCATGGTCACGGGAACGAATAATCAAAAGGGAAAACGATGATGGTTAGAAAGTCTCGTTAAAATGGATGCCGTCATCCCTCTTGTGAAGTTCACATTCCACCTGTGCCTAGTTGAGAACCTTCAACGTTCTGCGGTAAACTTAGATGTGAATCATAGCCATGCATGATGAGGCATGTTCGAGTCTTTATTGGCAAATAATTAGCGGTTATTTTTACCAGATAATCATGGCTCGCCTTATTTTCAGTGTTTCGATATAAATTAAAAAAGTTCAATGCATCGATCTGAGACACGTCTTCATTCGTTTTTGATCTATCTTTTGTATGATGCCTCGCATTCGAATCAATTCTACTATTGGTAATCTGGGCCTAGGTCGATCTGTGCCTCTAACTCGCTGGATAACCTCTATCAGGCAGATAAGGAACGTGACTGGCCTCCCTATGAAGCATCCGAACTATGAGAGATTCGGGTAGCTAGCTATATAGGTACGATCTTGTCCTAAGTAATCCTCAGGTCTCTGATGTCGGAATCCGTGAAGCGTATCAAGGACGACTCAAAGTGGCTGGATCTTCTGATCTTCGAAGCCAGCCTAAGAGATCACTGGCAGCTACTGAGCGCACTCCCGAACCCTCTAGTATACTCTATGATCCGATATACTCTTCAGGATATTTGAAAGCTCCAAGGTCAAGCTGCCGATGAACCATCTGTAGGGAGGTTAGGATTCAGCCCCGAAATACAACTTTTAGCAGCCTCTTGTACGGAATTGGCCACAGACACGCCGGTGAGAAGCTCCCAGAAGCGAACCACACCCGCGGCTCCCTCATTTTCCCAGCCATTAGCAGCCGCAACATTGTATAGAATATCAGTTGCAGATGATATTGGAGAGGGGAGCTTCAATTGCCTGGCCTCCCCAATAAACATAGCCACAGCCTTCATAAATGTGGAAAGGGGCGAGGTTGGTGTCCAGTTCGCATCGAGGATTTGCGGCCCTCTGCTTTCCAGCATATAACTCCACGCGGAAGTGTTAATTAACACATCAAACACAACATTTGGGTCAAGTTCAAGTCGTGCCGCGAAACTCAAAGCCTCTGCAGCAGCTGAAATATGGATCCCTGCTAAAACCTGGTTGATGAGACTGACAGATGAAGCGGCACCTATTCCTCCCCGAACTTGTCGCAAGTTGGATATATCTTTGGCCATGGCCAATAGTGGGCCTTTGACTTTTCGGATAGCATAATCATCTCCCGAAACCATGATCTAAGACGATGAGCCTGAGTTTGCAATCGACGAGGGACGATTCAACGAACATTTGGAGTGCCCTTGGCGGTATGTGTTGACCAATCGCACACAGGGGCGTCGAGAATACTTATATCGGTTCTGAGGCGCCCAAGCCTACCTGGAAGGATTTTCATATAAGAAGGAGGAACAGAAGAGCTGATGACAATGATAGCGTTGTCAGAAAGGTTCTCTAATACCTCTTCTGGGCCAAAAAGAATATCATCTACTTGTACTGCGCTCTGTACCGAAATAATGACCACTTGTGTACCTCGAACTGCTTCCACAAGCGATTTAGCGGGAAGGAAATTGCCCTCAATTTGAGAAGCTCTCTCTGAAGCGTTGGGAACAACACCATAGCTCTGCACAACGTAACCTGCTCGAAGGAGTGATGTAGCCACTTCCCTGGCTGTGTTATCCAATCCTATGATACCAATTGCCGAGATGGGAAACTCGGAATTGTCCAAATCGATTTTGCTCAACAGGCTGAAAAGATTCTCTGAAGCATGGCGTGTTTCAGTAGCATGCGGATAGTCAGGACAACAGACGCGCATTAGGTTGGTACCAGTGTCTTTGTCTTTGGCAGTGGCCTGCCTAGTGCGTCTGGTGCAAAGCTGCCCTGCGACTTCAGATAAAGGAAGGGGGAACTGTAATGAATGAGAAATAGACGTCATCAGGGACTATGGAGGTTAGACTGTGTTTTTTTTTCCATGTATTGCTATGTGGGAGACGTACCAGATCATCGGCCAAATCTTTAAGAGTTAAATCAACAGTCCGATTGTCCAAGACTTCTAGCACGCAAGCCTCAAAGACTCTGGAGCTACCAGTAGTTGTTTTGACGATATTAGAAACCTCGAAAGGGTCTAGCCCCTGTTTAATAGCAAATGAAATTGCCTCTGCGGCTGTAGCAATGTGAATGCTAACGAGCATCTGATGTATAAGCTGGACCTTACTGGCAACTCCAAAGGTACCAGGAATCATGAACCATTTATCCGATATTTCGTCTAAAAAGCTTGAGTTTCTGCGTAAAACCTCTCGTTTTCCAGCAACAAAGACCACAACGCCTCCCTTCGTGTTATATGTTGGGCTTGCGGATATCGGACAGTCCATTAGAAGAATGTCTGATCGACCAAGCCTTGAAAGATGAATTTCTAAAGCGTTGTAAAAATTGGTGTCCATGACTGAGCACAGGAGAACGGAGCATCCAACTGGCAGCACTATCTTACTGTAAACAGAAAGAACAATCGTCGATGGTGGGACTAGTGGCTGAAATACCTTCGAGAACACTGGAGTCGCTGCTGAAAAACAGAGCCTCAAGCTCGGATTTATCACCAAAGCAGATAAGATATTCAACATTCGCTGCGATGTCCCGAGGGTGTTGGCAAAAGGTTCCACCTAGAACACTGATCTTAGCTTTATCAGGCGCATCGTTGTCGCATATCCAGACACTATACTCTGGGTTGCTGAGGAGGCCGGATACCATCCTCAATGCTAGGCTACTCGTCCCCAGAAAGCCAACGGGGGTTGGAATAGACCATGTTGCGGCCATATCTGCAATATCTGATTGCCCCAAGACAGATGATTCAGATCACAGCAAACCGTTATAAGACATGAATAGACCACATTCACAATGGTCTTTGTGGCAAGATTGTTGCAGACTGCTTTTATTCCGGTGTCAATCCCAAATCTCTTATTGGCGGAGGTGGAGTGTGGAGGTCTTCTGTCAAGTGTGAGGCGAGATCGTGGTGGAGCTCCATCAGCTTGACGTCGGCCGGCACTTGTACTCAGAAGAATATTTCTCTTTTGCTCTAATAAGTTGTTATTGATAGATAGTAAGGTTTAGAAAGCTCTTCGATCAGGTAATACTAATTTAAATACTAAGAACTAGCTAATATAAGTATTTTAGTAATAAAAAGGTAAAAGTTCTTATATAGCTAAGTATTATACTATTATACATGCCCTTGACTCAAGGATTTGGCGGCTACGCCACGCGCTTCGTGGACACGGCACTCGGCTTTGCGACTGGTTATACCTACTTCTTCAAGTATATGATTGGGACAGCCAATCAGCTTTCAGCTTTTGCTCTCATAATGAGGTACTGGGTGGGTGACAACGTAAACCCAACCGTCCTTATCACAGTTACACTCATTGCAATAATCCTCATCAATAGCGTGAATGTGCGGACATTTGGTGAGGTGGAATTTTGGATCTGTCTGCTCAAAGTCTTCACTATGGTGGGGATTATTCTCCTACTTTCCATTCTCGCCGTTGGCGGCGGCCCGTCGGGGGGTCGACCGGGCTTTCGATACTGGCGCGACACCGGACCCATTGCCGAGTTCAAAGTAAAGGGAGACATCGGCCGCTTTTTGCGAGTATGATCCACGTTGGCTGCTGCCGTTTACGCATTCACAGGCACTGAAAATGTGGCCGTGACAGCTGGCGAGTCCCAGAACCCGCGTCTGGGCATGCCCAAAGCTGCACGCTTGAGCTTCTATCGCTTTTTTTACCTTCTAGGTGCTGTCAGTTCTCTTTCTCGACATGGTGGTCCCCTGTAATTCCGAGGCGCTCGCATTCGCAACCCATGTCAGCAAATCCGCCGCCGCGTCGCCTTTTGTGGTGGCCAACAAGGCTGCAGGAATTATAGGCCACGACTATGTCATCAACAGCTGCATCGTTCTGTTCGTTCCCTTAGTTGCTAACTCGGACTCTTATATCGCTTCCCGAGGACTCTGTAGCATTGCTGCCGATGGAAAGGTCCCACCATTCTTACCCGCACAACTAGGAATAGAGTGCCTTGGGTTTCTGTCATTATCTGCACTCTGATATGCAGGCTGGGATACATGTCTGTCGCGGCGAGTGGTGCCAAGGTGTTTGTACACCTTACAAGCTGTGTAACTGTGTTTGGTAAGTTTATCTAGTATCCCCCCGAGCCTCCCTACAGGCAGCCGACTTCATCAGGTCTCTTGGTTTGGATGTCAATCTTGCTCTGCCACATCGCGTTCCGTAGAGCTCAGTCTGTTCAGGGAGTTGATCCTGTCTATATCGCTTACAGAGCACCGTTCAGCTCAGTAGGCTCATACATTTCATCAGATTTCCTTCCTGTGCTCCTCATCACTATAGGAGCCGAGGTCTTTGTTGGTGATCAATTCAACTACCAGACATTTATCTTGGAACAAATCGGCATCTCAGTTTACTTGGCCCTTTACTTGGGCTACAAGTTCGCTGCTAAGACATCATACGCTCGAGCAGTAGATGTTGACCTTATTACGGGCGTCCCCGCGATTACAATCGCAGAAGAAAAGGCCAGGTATGAAGCTTCCCAGAAAGAGAAGGAGGAGACGAATCCTCACACCTACTGGGCCCGCAAGTTGTATAGGCTCGTTCCATGGTTATTCTGATCTGTACGACTGCCGAAGAGAAGCTGTAGGAGTAGGAAGATAACAAGAACTGTTGATGAGGGACCTGGCGTTTTTGATATAAATGTGTCTACTTTTTTTGTTATGGTGGGCGCAAATATATAGAATATATAGAAGTCCTCGACTCCCTAGAAACCTTCTCTACCAAGTGGCCATAGTGAGAAAATATCCTAGTACTAGTTAGAGACTCTGGAAACTGCTTTTGTCCTTTAACAAGGCAGCTGCTTCATGCAGAGCTCCAGTTCAGGCTGAAGCCAGGATCAAGGGATAATATTGTATTTACGCATGCCGTTTTGGAGTTGGTCTATGACGTGACGGCGTTGGTTCAAGTTAGCAAGGCCCCTCATATGAAATTCCTCCTAGTCGTGGCACCTTGATGTGAATATTACGTACATAGCCGGAGATCAGCTTTGGCAAGTGATTTCCGCGATGGAGAATGGGCAGCGACAAGGATGTGGCTGCAGAACAAGAAACAGACTTGCGTGCGGAGAACATGAACCCTGGAGTTGAGGAGTATTATCCATCCGGGGACATTAGGAGAGCATTATCCCATCATAGGAATACACACCCCCACAGTAACGTTGGAGAGCTGTGAATCCTGATGACCGGCATTCGTGTACTGCTGACGAGATAAAGTCTTTCTGAATCGCTCCTCCTAAATCCTAACTTTCTTTTTTTTAGGTGTACTACCTTTCGAGTCTTTCAAAGATGACTGAACCGCTTTCTGACCGGGCAAGGGTGCTGATTCGTGCCCTCGATTTGCCATGGCGATAGGCCCCGGGAGCGACCTATTCACCAGACGAAAACCCAGGCGGGCTAGCAAGCTTTGCCACTGCTGAGAATGTAAGTTACCCAGTCCAGCGGCAGAGCGAGCATTGCATTTCGACCCATACTGATCAATCATGTTTATAGCCTCTCGTCCACCAAAAACTGGAGGTCTTTACCCGTGAAAAGGTCGTGCCGCTAGAATAAACATTCGGGCCCTTCTTATTATAAACTCCAATAACCCAGTGGACGTTGCTATTCCCGGAAGACACTTGTTGAGGTCATAGGACTTTGTCAGAGACACCAAATTTATCTGATCAGTGATGAAATTTATAGATTATCAGTCTTCGGCAACGCATTCCCCCCTTTTACTCCCACCCTATCGATCGAGCTGGGAACCATTGATAATCAACTGCTGCACATGACCTATAGCTTTAGCAAAGATTTTGGAGCAGCGGGCTTGCTACTCGGCTGCGTTGTAACGTGGAATGCCTCCGTGTTAAAGGTAATCCGGATAACAGCTCAGTTTCATAACCCCTCGGGTGCTTCTGTAGTCATTGCCAACACCATGTGGGAGGATCGAGACTGGCAGCGTATTTCTCGTTACCTCCCGACGCAAGATACGGAAAGCCTACGCGCTTATAACCGCAGGCTTGCGGGTTCTAGGGATAGACTTTGTGCCCGCCAATGCTGGCTTCTTTGTATATGTTTACCTGTCTCAGTATCTAATTCAGGGCACAACAGATGCCGAGTTTGATCTTTCCCAGAGGCTTTTGGATGGGGACGTCTCCTTGCACCCGAAGGAGGAGCACGGTGAGATAGGTTGGCGACCGCTTAGACTTAGAAAAGTTATCACTCGCCAATTCTTACCGAACCCAGACTCTTTTAAATATCCGAGATTAGCTAGGATGAGAAGACTTCTGGTCCCCAATTACTTGCAGGGAGCAATCGGGCGGCCCGGCGGGTGATTTTGTCGGAACCAACCCTATTCTGCTGTAATTCTTTTAGCGTTCTAAATTTCACCAGGCCCCACACATTTACCAAGCCCCTTCCAGGTTCCTTTATCCAGTATGGCAGACGCCACTCGCAAGCCCAAGGTGCTTATCACGGGCTGCTCTGAGGGCGCACTAGGTGCCGCCCTCTCCATCGCGTTCCACAAAGCTGGATATCACGTCTACGCGACAGTCCGCGACCCAGCCAAAATGAAGGGGCTCGAGTCGCAGGGTATCGAGACGCTGGTGATGGACTCGCTATCCGACGAGTCCATTGCGACGTGTGTCCAAAAGGTGCCCTCGCTCGACATGTTGGTCAATAATGCGGGCAGGACATACGTCATGCCCGTAGTGGACGTCAATATTGCAGCGGCCAAAGAGGTCTACGATCTCAACGTGTGATCCCATATCGCCGTGACGCAGGCTTTCCTCCCTCTGCTTCTCAAGTCTAAGGGGACCGTCGTCAACCAGACATCAGTGAGCGCCAATCTCATTCTGCCGTTTCAGGCCGTATAAAACTCATCCAAGGCCGCACTGGCCATGATGTCTGACACTTTGCGGCTCGAGCTCGAACCCTTGGGTGTCAAGGTTGTTGATCTCCGCACCGGGGTGGTCAAGACCAATCTGATCAAGAACATGCAAGAATTTGGGAGTGCCGCACTCCCAGAAGGATCAGTCTATGAACCGGCGAGGGAAGCTCTGGAGGGTGTTCCTCGCCAAGAGAAATCTCAAGAATCCGGCGTGCCCCGTCAGCAGTGGGCAGATGCCATGGTCAAAGAGCTCTCCAGAAAATCTCACAACAAGTTTCTCTGGTCTGCGGAGACATCGTTCGTTTGCCGCTTTTTGTCACTGCTGCCACACAGGTGGGCGGATGGGTTGATCAAACAAGCGACGAGCCTGGACTCCATTGCACGAATCCTAGGCAAACATCAACGAAATCGCTGCGTACTATAACTGTCGGTAGCGAATAAAACTAGGTATCCGGCGTTTTCTGTCATCAAAACCAGTCATGCCTGAATCTGTTCTAGATTGTAAACCTCCAGTAATTAGATGAATGCGGGAAGATCGCTACTTCTTCCCTAATAGGGTTAATTGCTATCATTTATTTTATTTTGTACATAGCGCCGATTTGTGCACTCGCGGAACAGCCCCGTCTTCTACAAGCTGACCTGACTCTCATAATACAGAGAACCCAAAAATCGATGCCCTTCTCTCGTAAATCGACGCCGCTAAGTCTGTTTTAGGCTCTAGTATTTGCGAATAAAACATATCCCTTGCTCAATGATAAAAGATACAAGCCACCTCGACAGATTATGTCGGAAGACAGGTTGTTCAAGGCTACAGCAATTACTCGTCGCAGAAGGTGGGGTAACCGCTGTAGTAGCCCCTGGAACAACCTATTTTCCAGCGTTATGACTGTGGTATCAAACTGGCCCTGATCAGACTGTCTGCTCTAGCAACGAGCGGTTGCTACAGCCAACTTGTATCTTTTTGTCACTGAGCAAGGGGTAGATTTTAGCTGCCAAAAACTAGAGCCCAAGACGGACTAACGGCGTCGAATTATGAGACAGGCGCGTCGATATTTGGGCTCTCTGATAGGGGAATCAGTCCGAAAATAGGAAACCAACAGACCGGGGGGGCTAATTTAACTGCAGTGCTGTCCTCTCCTTTTTTCTTCCACTCCTTGATACGAAAAGAAACTCTTATAGACGCACGCTGAAGCAATCTCGCACCTTCCAGCCAAGAAACACCACTGAACAGTGCTTCCCTTCGAAAGAAATAAGCCAGAATCAGAGATATTACAACGGATAATTGAAGCAATGGTACCACCAGCCCGTTAAACAAAACAACACCTGTCAGGCAGCTCGAACGGCGATAAATTGTACCAGAAGACCGTTTACGATGGCACCGATACCATCACTCTCCGAGCGTAAGCCCGACATAAATATCCGAGGACGAACTCCACCATCAGTACAACCTTACAAACGTACACGCAAAAAGTCACCCCTGGCTTCGACATACCTCAAACGCGACATACTCTCCGAGCTGAAGCCCAATATGAATATCCAAAGACGAGCTCCACCATCAGTACAACCTTACAAACGTACACGCGAAAAGTCACCCCTGGCTTCAACATACCTCGATCGCGATAAATCATTATTATTACCTGACTCCGCCCAGTTCTTACAAGCCCAGCTTAATTCCTGGATTCAAGTACTACCTCCTACTATGATCGGAGTACTAGGCGGAAACGGTAGTGAACTTAAAATGCCAATATCCTCAGAGGACAGACGAGTATTACGCTGGAAAAAGTGGGCAAGCGAGATTGTTACAAAAGTTACAAACTCTCCAACCACTATCGATGACTGTTGGTTTATTACCGGCTTTAAGGGAGATACCAGTGGCTATCCGATCAAGAGAATTGCTCCTGGTGGTAATCGGAATAAGTGGGCGGTACACCGAATAATGTATTTTCTGATGAATCCGCATCAGATTTATCTTATACCTACTAACCAGCACTGTTCCCATCGATGTAACCGCGGACGCTATAACAGATTCAGAGAAATCGATGTTGCCTGTATTAATCCGTATCATCTTACCCTATGCCAGCCGGTAGAGAACCAAGACCATAAAGGATGTATACGATCGCAGGCAGCTTGGTGTCCACATACTCCGCGATGTATTTTTACTAATAACTGTGGACTCTTTCTACCATGTCGGAATACAATCCAGAGAACGCCAATATGTATATGTAATAGTAATAGGGACTGCTTGGAGGATAAGAAGGCTTAGGTAATTACTATATCGGTGGACAGTAATATGGCCCCTGTTTAATAGAACGTTGCTGTATATATTGCAGAGTATCTGTAATAGCAAAGTCGCGCGTAAACGTATCTAATAGAATCGAGCTGACGCGATACTGTAAGGCTTGTAGCGTGCTAGGCGTAGCTGTTACCCCAAGCAATATTCGCTCAGGGTTTATAGCCAGCAGGGTCTCTACTGAGGTTGTTGGAGCCAAGCGGGCGATAGGAAGGTATCGTCAACTACCGAGATAACCCACGAGCATTGAAGCTCGCAGCCGACGCGAAGTTGTCCAACATGCCATGGCGTTTCGGCACCGTAGGAGAAGTAGCTCGAACGTTAAAATAAAGAAGATGTCAGACCCAACATACTCAATACAATGAATACGAAAGGTTAGTAAAAAAAAGGTTCGCTACCCCGAGGCTGCAGTTACATGGCAAATGATTCTTTAAACCTTGATGCCGATGACTTACTTGCCGCCAGGGCGAGCTGGGCGTCAAATGACTATTAAAGCTGCCCTCTTTACCCGACTTCTTATCTTCTATTCTTCACCGACAGGGGCAAAAATCAGTCAAAGTTGTTAATTAGTATTGCAGTCAGCACTCACACACCAATCCAAACACTTCAACCAAGCGCGAATCAACCGACCCAGTGAGTAACAGTAGCCCGTTGGCCAAGAGCTGCTTATACACTCCGATCTCCACTCAGGACTGGTCGCCTTGCAGCCCCAGACGCCGATTCCGAGTATTCAACCAGTGTGCTAAAGCCGTACAGGTTGGCCCGCAGCGAGAAGATAACGTGGGGAACACCAGCCCTGGGAGATCAATCTGATTAGCTCATGCTAGGAAATGATAGGGCAGAGCGGAAAACTTACAGAACCGTCTCGTGGTAGCAGTTGAATCCGCCATGGTGCACAAAAGCCAAAACGTGACCCGAGTTGAGCATCGAAGGGGGGTCGACATCAAGCCAGTCCACTACCATTAGCCGTGCCTTCTCAATAAATGGCTTGACGGGGGTTAGATGATCATCGGAATAGTCGGTGAACTTGTTGAACTTCTTAAGCTTCCAGATGATTTGGACAGTGCGTCCACAATAGCCCCCGACATCGCGAGAGCACGCTGCTCGTCATACTGAATTGTTGTGTTAGTTTCACAAAAGGAGTTCGTTTTCTTGTTTCATTGATGCTTTTTTTCGCATTCATACCTTCCAGATGCTTCCCAAGTTGATGAGAATGGTGGGCACCTTCGCCAACCAGGCCGCCATATCCGCATCCTGCTCGGCTACCGGCGCCGAGTCAAGTACCATAGGCCCAACGCAGGTGACATTGGTCGGGATCAGGTCCACAGGGATGGAAGCACCATCTGTTTCCATGGCGACCATGGGACATTATCACGATGCGTGCCAGTGAAGTCAATGGGGTTGCGAATACCACGCTCACGAAGAGTATGGCCTTTCTCAGTAAGGTCAGGGCCGCCAAGGATGGTAGGGATGATGTTAAAGTTGATCCAAATATTCTCCGGGATGCTGCTCAGGGACAGAGGGAATTTAATACCGGAGGACATGCTATGCAATTAAATGTTATCTAAATAAAAATAATCAGAATTAAAATAGCTAATAACGATAAAAGAATAAATTTCAAAAAGTTGAAATTTAATAACATTACTTAGCGATTTGGACTTCTCATCGAGGTGGATGTAGTCTAGGTCTAATGCTATACACCCTGCAGTTGATTCATATTATTTCTACAGCAAATACTAGATATCCGGGAAGTGCACTCTAACTTTCAAGCGTTTTGTCTAAAATTGATCGAAGCAGCTTCATGAAATCCAACATAGCCCTTTCGGATATAATTCTTTTGTTCCCCTCAAATTCTAATTCGAGCTTCCCATTTCGTGGCGTGGCATAGATCTCTGGACGATCACGCGCAGGCAGGCTGGTTTGATAGAATGAGAAATTGCTCGGCGAGCCGAGGAAATCGAATGAGTCGCTATCATCCGCTTGTTGGAAAGCAGTGCGCCATCCAAAGTTGGTTGTTGTCTCCGGCCAGGTGGTGCAGTTCCTGATGATCTCAACCATGCCTGCAGCTTCATGAGTGGAATCCTGAATAAACTGATCATGTAACTGCCGGCTAACATCATCGAGGCTATCTGTAGGTTTAATATAAACTCGGACAGGAAGTTCAGTCATCGTAGGTCCTACAACACTCTGTAGACTGCTCGGGAGCATGGAACGGCCCGTAACTAGACGTCCAAAAATCACTTCCTTCTGGCTGAATTGTCGCGAAAATGCCAATGCACAAGCGGCATGGAACACTGTGGCAGCCGAGATACCTTCACTCATGGCTATATTAGTTGGCATTGTGATTGTCTCGCTTGTACTCAGCCTATCTTCTGGGCTGCATCTGATGTTGTCCGTATTCGTTGAGCTCCAGCTAGGGAATGACCAATCGGTAAGTCTAGAGGCCCAGTACTTTAGACTATCATTCTTCTGCCTTGCACAAAAGTCGATGTACTGGGCAAATCTTGGCGTAATTAGTAATGGTCGGTGGTTGTATATCGCAGACAGAGCCTCCAGTACTTTGGGCCAACTGTATCCATCGAACTGAGAGTGTGATATACGAAGGACAAGTTTGTGACTCCCGGAATCATGTGTGATGACCATGAATCGTACAAATGATGAACCCAACTTCCTGGGGCGTCTCAAATCATCCTCGCAAAGTTTGTCGATGAAACACTTTAGCTCGTTACTCTGGGCATCAAAGACGTTGTAATCTGGTTTCATTTCACTCAATGAAACCTGCCAAAGTTGGCCTTGACCCTCGACGAAGACGGTGCGGAGAATGTCGTAGTGTTTTAAAAGCCTGTAACACGCCTCTTGCAGCCGCATGAAATCCACATCTCGAGGAAGGTCAAATATCCAATGAGGATATCTACCTGGAGGATCCTGCATAGCATCCAACACTGCACGCTCTTGGAAGTCTGTAGCAGGAGTAATATCTTCAATATCTGATACATCAAAGTCCAAAACAGACTGGACATATTCGTTGATGAACCATTTATAATCCAGACTATCCAGGAGCGAGAATGGCTCATAGGATACCTGCATCTCCGAATCTTTGCCCATCCCAAGAATGAGTGATGCTAAATCATGAAGACGAGGAGCTTTGAAAACGTCCGACACAGAAAATGACAGCTTCTCCTCCCGGCTGGCTGCGACTAACTGCATAGCAGCAATTGACTCGCCGCCGATTCTGAAGAAGTGGCTTTCAGCACTGATCGTTGCTGGGTCGACACCCAGAACCATTGACCACAGAGCTTGCAATTTCTTCTCCAAGGCTGTATTTGGCGCTCGTTGTTCTTTCCCTTGAGCCTGTAAATGTGCAAGCTGCTCCTGTGATAGCCTGCCTCCGATCTCCCTCAGACCCTTTCGGTCTGTTTTGTTTGTAGTGGTCATGGGAATTTTGTCAACGTGGATGTATGCAGCTGGAACCATGCTGAGAGAATTCGATTAGCTTCATGTCATGTTCTGGTGATGTTGATTGCGAGATTGGGTACAAAAATGCTGTCGAAACATGTCCAACGCATCAGGGTATAATCAAGTGAATGGGTAGCCAAAGGCGGGCAGAATAGAATACTTACTATATGGGAACACGGTCGGCGAGCTTTCTCTCCATCTGTTCGAATCGCTGCATAGATTGAGCTTGAGCATCCTGCATCTCTGCTTGATTGCCTGCACTTTCTGACAGACTGGCAAAGATGGCGAGTAGAGGGCTGTTGCTATTCTGCGGAATGATGATCTCGGCTGCGATGCCGTGGTAGAGGCTGGCATCATTACCAAGGCAGGACCGAACGTGATATTCCACTTCAGCCAACTCGATCCTTTGACCACGTAACTTGATCAAGCTGTCTTTACGGCCAATGAAGTCCATGGATCCATCCTCGTTGTATCTCAAAAGATCCCCCGTCCTGTAAACCCGGCCACTTCGACCAGGGTGATCGTTGGAGCCTTGTGTGAGCCAGCATGGGCTGTCTATATACGATGCTGCTGCTTCGTCCGAGCTCTGGAAGTATCCTTCGCTGACAGTCGGACCTTCAATAACAAGGTCTCCGATAGTCCCAACGGCGGCTAGATGGTCTGGCCGACCGGGTTGCACAAGCCAGGTTCTTGCACCGTAGGAGTATCCGACATGGCCATTGCGGCTTGTGCCACTCAGCCATGCGAAACTTAGAGCTTGAGCACACTCCGCAGGACCATAGATACCGATCACCGTATCCACGTATTGATTCCAGCGCGCAACTTCCGTCCCTCGGATAACCTCGCCTCCCATGGCAAGGGTTCTGAGCCCGGGAAGCAAGGCCGGATCAAGTGATTGTGCTACTGAAGGGGTGAAATAAGAGTAGCTGCAGTCCATTCTGTTGAAAGCACCTATGATGTCGTTTTTCCGGTCCCATTCTGAGGGGATACAAAGACAGCCCCCGCAAATCAATGTCTGGAGATGATTGGACCATGACACGTCAAAGCTGTATGACACGAAGTCGAAGACTCTGGTTCCGCGTTTGATGTGGAGTATATCGGCCTGGTGAATAGCTGCGGATGCAAAATTCACATGACTCGTGATGACGCCTTTGGGAGTTCCCGTTGATCCGCTAGTAAATACAACTACGATTTGTTAGCAAGGCCATATTAATGAGTGTAGTTTACTCACTGTAAAGGGTATCTGACGGGCTGATTTTGGGCAAGCAGTCTTCGCCAAGTTTCGATGAATACTTATCGATATACTGTTGGCTCACTATTACGCTAGTCGCGGTCGTTAGTTGTTTGACCATGGAGTCATTATTGGGCGATGATAACACAAAGATTGGGTCGACTTGGCAAATAATTGCCCTGAGGCGGGCTTCAGGCTGAGTCGAGTCAATGGCGATACATGCGGCACCAGCCTTCATGGCTCCAAGTGCAGCAACAGGATACCACACAGACTTCTCAAAGCACAAAGGAACTCGCGTCCCTGGTTTGGCTCCAAGAGAAACAAGGTACAAGGCCAATATATCAGAGAGCGTACTTAGCTCCGAGTATGATAGGTTACCATCCCAGGCGCAAATTGCAGTTGCATCTGGCTGTTCCTTGACGATCTTGCTGATCAGGTCAGGAATGCACTCGTTGATTGCCTCTGGAACAGGCGAGTTCCACTTCCAGAGTGTTTGAATATCTTGAGGACTTGCCATACTGATATCTTGTACGGTCTCAGTACTGGCGAGGCAAATTTGACGCAAGACATGCTTAAACTGGCAAGCGATGAGCTCCATTTGAGAAGTTCCAATAATACTAGAGTCAAAGCTGATTTCTAACTGGAGACTACCGGCGTTTGAAAGTTGACACATTACCATGACAGCATTGGGGTTGAAATCGTCAAGATCATCGCTTCCAGAAATAGTCTCAAAGTGATGTAAAAATGGAGAGTCATTTTGCTGGCCGTACCTTTGGGGAAAGGGAGGTTGAACAACGAGAAGCGTGTTGAAGCGTGTTCCTCGCTCAGTGTTGGCATCGATCCGGCGAATATCCAACAGCTCGGTTTGCTCAAAGGCGATCATATCGACTGACTGCTGTTGGATATCATGCAGTAGACTGTTGACACTTTGTTCGGGCTCAAATTTAACACGGACCGGAACAGCATTAGCCAGAGGTGCAATCATTCGATCAATACCTGGTAGCGGCGCCTGTCGTCCAGTAACCATCGCACCAAAGACCACGTCGTGCGTATCGGTGTATCTCGCAGCCAAAATGGCCCAAGCAGCACGTATTACTGTGATGAAGGTTAGCCATCGTTGGATTTTTTCATCGTATACCACAACGGCATTAATCCATTAAACCGAGAAATCTTGATCAAATGCAAATTCGAGCAACGGAAGGAACAAAATATTGACTTACAAGTTGATGGTGTCTCATCTCGCTCTGGCCATTTAAGATCAGAGATGTCGTGCTTCACAGTCCTATCCGCCTTGGGCTGATAGCCTTGCTCTGGAAGTTCAGGAAAGAGAGCAGTGTCGGAGGCGGCAAATTGAGACTGCCAAAATTGTCGAGATTCTGCCTTGCTTATGCTGCCTATATGCTTGACAAAGGCCTGGAAGGGAGCAACAGGACTGTCATATGCAATGCACGAGTAGACATTAGACACCTCGTTAAGTAGTAGGTTTAACGAGTACCCATCGTACATAGCATGGTGCTGAGTTAACACGAGACAACACTCCCCAGATGTGTCATTGACGAACGAGAACCGAGTTAGGCGCGTGCCTAGGCCCATAGGATTGGCTGTATCTTGGCAAAGGAACGTTTCCACGTTACTGTATGCAGCAAACTCAATTTTCTCGTTCACATGAACTTGAACTAAGCCTTCGTCGGGAACATTTACAATTCGATAGCAAATGACCGGAGCAGTAGTTTTGCTTGCAATCTCCCAGGCTCTTTGGAGTCGGTCTAGATCAACTTGCTTCCTGAGTTTGAGTAGAGGTCTTGCGATGTATGAACTTGACGATTTAGCGGTCATTGATAATAACGACTTTTGTATGCCAGTACATGGGAATAAATCCATGATATCCGTTTCTTCCACATTACATTGCGCGGCTGCGTATCGTACAGCCTTGGTCTTATTCTCCGGACTCTTCAGCAAAGAAAATGCAATGATTTCCTCGCTTTCAGCCTCATAACCTGAATGCAAGGTCTCCATCAGGCTGGACATTTGGGACAACCTTGGAGCTTTAAGTATGTTTTGCACAGTGAGTGAAATATTATGGCTCCGAGCCAAAACCGCCAGCCGCATTGCAGAAATAGAGTCTCCTCCAAGACGGATGAAGCTGCTTTCCGAATGGATTTTGTCCAATGAAACTGCTAAAATACTAACCCACAGCGTGCGGAGCCGCAACTGTGAATCGGTAAGTTCCATGGCGGCAGCCGGATTCTCTTCTGCACCACCAAACTGTTCCAGAGTGATACTCTCCCCCAACTCCCGTAGGCGCCTTCGATCCGTTTTGCCACTGACTGTCAGTGGAATCTTCTCAACGGGCATGAATGCAGCAGGGACCATATACGAAGGAACAAGCTCAGCCAATTCGTCTTTCAAGTCCTCTATACATTGGTAAAACTCCGAATGCTCACTCTCCTTGAGCTCGACAAATACCATCAATAAAGCTCGTGCAGTGATCTTTGGAACAACAACTTCCGCCGTCGTTTTTGGTGCTGCTGAAAGTCTCCTCGCTAGACAATTTCGAGCATGATACTCGACCTCAGCAAGCTCAATCCGCTGGCCTCGGAGTTTGACTTGAGTATCCTTTCTGCTGACGAAAATCAAGGCACCATCGACAGGATCGTACTTGACAAGATCACCAGTCCTATACATCCGACCAGCGCGTCCAGCTACACTACCATCTGGAGATCCGCGGAGCAACCAGGTAGGGTCTTCTAGATAGGATGCCTCGGTTCGCTCCTTATTGTTCAAGTAGCCCATTCCTACCAGAGGACCCTCTAGCCATAACTCTCCGATCGTACCAACCGGGGCCAGTCTATCGTTGGATTTTGGATCAATTATCCACGTGGAGGCACCTACTCCATTGCCGATGGGTAGTCTATCGGGAACAGTTGTTGGTACACTCCAAAATACGGTAGTGGACGAGCACTCTGAGGGCCCGTACATTATCGTAACGGTAGACCGGGGCATCCATCGCGATAAATCCTCTTTAGTCACAGCTTCCCCACCAAAGTATATCCTCTCCATAGTTGGGATCTCATCTGGATTGATCAAGCGAGCCAGAGATGGTGTTGGCCCTATATGTGTCACTTTGAAATTCCGAATACTTTCTGTCAGGTTACTCTTTCTCTCGACATCGCTCGGGACACACAGCGTTCCCCCGGCCGCGAGTGTGTGGAGAATAGTCCAATGTACCGCATCAAACGAATAAGATGAAAAGTCATAAACCCTAGCACGATTGGTAAACCCAAGGAATTCTTGCTGCAGAGTAACTGCACTACTGAAGTTGCGATGTTGTATCAAACAGCCCTTGGGAGTGCCCGTCGTCCCACTCGTGAAGACGGCGTAAAGATAATCAGATGGGTCGACGAATGGTAAAGCATCTCTAGAATGCTTAAGCTTTGAGGAAATGGGTATTAAATCTGTTTGAGCGCTTATTACCAGCACATTGTCAACTAAAATCTTAGCCACTGGCTGATTTTCAGGAGACGAAACAATAAGATTTGGTTTGAACTGTTGGACGATAGACTCAAGTCGTGGTCCAGGCAGGGCCATATCTAAGAATACGACACCGGCGCCAGCTTTGATTACGCCGAGAAGAGCGACCAATGTCAGCACAGACTTGTCGAAACATAAAGGGATGATTGTATTTCTCTGGACTCTCAGGTCGATCAGTCGATAGGCAAGGATAGTAGATGCAAGGTCTAATTGTGCATAGGTGACCTCACCATCCCAACCAGTAGCTGCCACCGCATCTGGAAAAGACTGGACAACATCGGCAAAGATGTGGTGATAGCATCTCTCAATCGACTCTGGCTTTATAGAGTTCCAGTTCCATATCATATTCAAGTCCTTATCCGTTGAAGTATCGATATCGCCGACTCGCGAATCATCCACTTCTCGATTACAGAGAGTCCTTAACAGTTGTCCAAATTGTTGCCCTAGCAATTTTATAGAATCCTTACCGATGACAGCGGAATCAAACGAGAATTCTATTTTGATCCGGCCATCATCCAACGAGCAGATGATGGATAGAGCATATGAATTAAACTTATGGTAACGCCGAGCTTGGTTTTCAGCTGTGCTGACAAGCCTCAGGGATGCGAACAAGCTTGAGTCGCCAATGTTCGTCTCCTGGGGTTGAATAACCAGCATTGTTTGGAACTGGCAGGCCTGGTGAGCGTCCTCACTAACCCGAGAGATATTGGATAAACCTGTCTGTTCATGCGGTATCATGTCGGTGTTTTGGCGCTGCACGTCTTGAAGATGAGTAATAATCTTGCCTTGATCGTCTACTTTTATCCTTATTGGAACAGTCGCAATGGTAGGACTTGCAAGTCTCTCGATCCCGCTGACCGCTGCCTTTCGGCCATCAACGACAGCTCCGAACACAACGTCAGCTGAGTTTGTGTACTGGGCACAAAGAATCGCGAAAGCAGTCTGGATAACAGTTGACGGAGTAATGTCGTCTGTTCTCCGTGAGATGTTTTCTACTATGTGCACATAAGTGGAATCTGTTTGAGGTTGATAATTGGACGATGGAATCGCTGGAAATTGTGGCGCCTCCAAGTCTTCAAACTGCCCTTTCCAATATTCAGCGTCGGCTTGCTGGTCTCTGTGCCGGATGTATTTAACAAAATATTGGAAAGGGATTTGCGAATGAGGTTGTATACCGTAATAGAACCCTTCCAAGAATTCCATAAACAGGGGCACTGTCCACCCGTCGTAAATGGAATGATGTAAGGTTAAGGCAAAATTCCAAGAACCATTGATAGCGAACAGGCAGTATCTCATGAGCGGTTCCCCTAGACCCATCGGATGCTCACTCTCCTTCGCCAGATATTCATCGTAGCTTGCCGCCTCGATCCAAGAATTCTGGCTTCGCAGAATAGCTTGAACAAGGCCATGTTCAGGGAGGTCTATAATAGAAGTCCGTAAGATGGGAATCACGGATATAACCTTTTCCCAGGCCTTTCTAAAGCGACCTGGGTCGATGGAATGGGCAAGTCTGAGAACATTGCGGCCAACGTAATAGTCACTGGTTTTCACAGTTAATGCCAAGAGACCTTCCTGCAAAGGTGTACAGGGAAGCAAGTCTTCAATATCCTCCTTCTTGATGTGGAGAAGTCCTGCAGCATCCGCAACGAGGGATGCAGTTCCATGGACCGGGCCCAAGAGAGAAAAAGGTTCAATACGAACGTCCTCGTTTTCCATCTTGCTCCTCATTATTGTTGCCATATCCACGAGAACCGGGTTTTGGAATATCTCAGCAACTGTTAATTGGAGCCCTTGTTGTCGAGCGATACCTACCAATCTCATGGCCTGGATGGAATCACCCAGTCGAAGAAAGCTGTCGTTGGTAGAGATACTGTCTGCATCTAAACCCAGCGCTGTAGCCCAAAGTCCTCGCAGTGTTCTCTCAGCCATCGTGACTGGTTCTCGCCACTTATCACTTAAGCTGTCACAAAGTGGTTCAAATGAAGCTCCTATTTCTCGCAGTCTAGCGTAGTTTCGCTTTCCTGTTGCACCAGTTGGAATATATGAAATTGCTATGTAGCAGGACGGAATGGCATAGTCTGGTAGAAAACCCTTGAGCTTTGTGTTGAGCCCAGCAGTCAGACTATCGACCTCAGATTGTGTGGCGGCAACGACGAATGCGGCCAGAGTAGTGCCAGTTCTATTACGGACTGTAACAGCATCAACAGCTATTTCGGTATCTGTACTCTTCAGAGCTTTTCGAACTTCCCGCTCTACTTCTACCGGAGAGACAAGCTGGCCACGTATCTTGAGCTGAGTGTCCTGCCTTCCGATGAATACAAGTTTTCCGTTGGAGTCGCATTTCACCAAATCTCCGGTGAGATAGACTTGGCCATATCTGCCTTGAACATTGGGCACAAATCCGGCGGCCAAGAAGCCTGGGTTCTCCAAAAATCTCGCCTTTGACAGCGCCTCGTTCCCAATGTATCGCACAGCAGAGGTAGGGCCTTCAAGGGCCAGTTCACCAACAGCTCCGAATGGAGAAAGTCTATCGGGATATTTGGGATCAACAATCCAGCTGTAAGTCATGTTGTTGGCGCTCGAGCAATCTCCGATCATGCCCGTATACCAGTTGGGGTCGTTGGCAGAATGGAAGGTTGCCGCGGAAGACTCAGCCGGGCCATACCAGTTGATGAGACTGCATTGGTGTCTCCATTTGCTAACATCTTCGCTAGTAAGATTCTCGCCGCCAAAAACCATTGTTTTCAGACTGGGTACATCCTTGGGCTCGAGGAGCTTCGCGGTTGATGGTGTAATATTCATATGATTGGCAGCAAAACGACTGACAGCTGCAGACAAACCATCAAGCCTGTCTGACTCAGATGGAATACAGATGCACCCCCCATAAGCAAGCGTTGCCAGTACTTCGACTGTGCTAACATCAAAATCATATGACGCGAATTGGAACACTCGAGAACTGGCATTCATCGCCGTTGAATCAGCGTAACCCTTAACATTAGCCGCCATGGTGCTGTGGTTCCAAGGAATCTGCTTAGGCTCGCCTGTGCTTCCAGACGATACCAAAATGGCGGCTGGGCTGTTCACCGTAACCACTGGAAAAGGAGTAGTATCAAGTGGTTCTATAATTAGTTCCTCGATACTGAAGCAGCGGGTTTGCCGAGAAACACTACCCCTGAGAGATTCTGAAACTACTGCAGCTTGAACTCCGACATTTTTGAATACCTTCTGGATTCGGTGCTCCGGAACAATAGAAGACAGCATGAGTATGGCGCAGCCGGCCTTCATGCCCGCGAGCTGCATGACTGGGGCCCATCTAGTCTTCTCAAGATAAATTGCGATGACAGAACCCTCAAGTAATCCTCGGGTAAGGATATTTTGGGCTATAGTGTTGGACAACTCTTCAACTTCTTCATAGGTAAACTGGCCGTCCCAAGCATCAATTGCGATCGACGCTGGATATAGCTTGCCAATGGAATCGATCATGGGCATTATAGTCCGGTCAGGCTGTTTTGGGGGCTTGGACTTGGTTGCCCAGAAAGATTCAAGATCGGCTCTACTGGCTACCTGCAAAGATTCGATTTTGCAGCAAGAAGTTCTTGCATCACAAAGCTGCTGGATAACTCCTTCAAATTGATGTGCTATACGGGCCATCTGCTTGCCGTCGATCAAATTGTTGTCGAAGCTCAGTCGCAGACGAAGTCCAAACTTAGTCAGCTCACAGACCAGCATCAGTGCATATGTGTTGAATGGATCCGTTCCCATGGTTGAAAGGCTGGAAGAGTAGTTCCGGGCTTTGAAAACACCACTATCGTCGTACAATCCCCTTCCCTCGGTTTCGGGTTGAACAACGAGCAAGGTTTGCAGCAGACGAGCCTCTTGTAGGCCAGTCAAGCGTTGAATGTTTTGCAGGCCAAACTGCTCATAGGCAGTTGTTGAGACCGTTTGCTTCTGGATGCGGCTGAGAAGAGATTCGACAGATTCGTTCCCATGGATTGAAACGCAAAGTGGTATAGTTGAAATTGTAGGGCCAACGCAATTCTCAACACCTCGTAAGTCTGCCTGCCTGCCACTGACTGTCACGGCAAGGATGACATCACTGGTTGCTGTATGTTGTGCTGCAAGTATTGACCACGCAGACCGGATTATTGTTGAAGGTGTTATCCCTTCTCGCGGCCATTGAAGCAAAATATCGTGCTCCAGATCCTCATTAGCTCGAGGCTCGTAAAGCCGGGTAGGAAGAGACGGGAATTGTCTCGGCTCTACCCCTGATAACTGGGCTTTCCAGAAATTCGTTGCCTCGTTCTTATCAATATTAATCAGATGCTGAATGAAGTTTGCGAAAGGCGTGACAGTTATTCCCTGTTTACCGAAATACTGGCACTCCAATTCATCGAGAATCGTTTTAAACGAGCTTCCATCATATACGCAGTGGTGGATCGTAAGAATGAAGTCTCTGTCAACGATAGCTGCCCGACACAGTTCAGTGCCAAGATCCATCGGCTGGGCTTCATCTGCATGAATGTAGTCTCCCACATTACTTCCAGTAGTAATGGGATTTCTGTCGAGTACAACTTGTACCAATCCTTGCCCTGGAAGATCAACAATACGAGTTCTCAAAATGGTCAACTTTTCAGCAGTCGCTTCCCAGGCCACCTTAAGTGTCGCGGTGTCTATTGTAGGCTGAAGACCGAAAACACTTCTCGAGATGTATTGACCATGAGCTTTTGCGCCGAGAGCAAGTAAGCCTTGTTGAAGCATTGTGCATGGGTACGCATCGACGATGCGAGATACAGGCACTGAACAAAGTTGTGCTGCCTGCGTGCGGATATCTGCCTCCGGAATGACTCCCGAAAGGAGCGAAAACGGAGCAAGACAGTTTGTCTTTGTTGTTGAATCGTCCACATAGACCGTTCTTTGTGCCATATTCTCCAGCTGTGGCGCCTCAAATATGTCAGCTACGCTCAGAGAAAGGCTTCTCATACGGGCCAATGCAACTAACCGCATGGCCGCGATCGAGTCGCCACCAAGCCGAAGGAAATTATCGGTAGCATATATCGCATCTTTCTCGATGTGAATGATTTCTGCCCACAGACTTTGTAAAATTTGTTCCATCCCAGGAGATGGCCTCCTAGATTCTTCCCGAAGCGGTTGCAACTCCGCCAACTGTTGGTGCGTAAGGGCACCCCCAATTTCTTGGAGATATCGTCTGTCGATCTTCCCAGTATGTGTGAACGGGATCTTTTCAATTGGAAGGTATACTTTAGGGATCATATGAGGAGGCAGTCGCATTTCTAGATCTCCTTCCAGTGCATCCACTGGGAGGGAACGGTGAAATATATCTAGAGGATCTTGCTCGCTATCTTGAGCAACGGCAATGAACAGAGCGAGTGTCTCTATTTTACTTTCACGAGGAGTGAAAATCTCCGCCACCACGCTCACTTCGAGTTTACCGGAGAGGAACTGCTGAACATAACACTCAACATCACTCAAGTCAATCCGCAGGCCTCGTAGCTTTCTTTGAGAGTCGTCTTTCCGGCCGAGGAAAATAATATCTCCCGTTGAGGTGTATTTAACAAGATCTCCAGTCTTATACAACCTTCTGAAGTGTTTCGGGAAAGACTCTTGGCGTTTGACAACATTCCACTGGGGTGAGAAGTAGGATGAATCGTTCAATACCTGGCTTTTGGCACCTATGTAGGTCGCAACGATCGAGCCTTGAATACAAAGCTCCGCAATTGCTCCAATTGGGGCCAAAAGATGATGGTTATTCGGATCCACGAGCCAGGTGAGATTATTATGGCCTTTTCCAATAGCGCCATCAACCCAGCTTTCTGGCGTTACTCGATAGGACGTTGCTACAGACGCCTCTGCTGGGCCGTACCAGTTGTGAACGGAATCGACACTTTTCATCCATCTCATTGCAGTTCTTTGTAGTAGCCTTTCTCCTGCGAAAACGATTGTCTTTACGAATGGCAAGGATTCGGGGTTCAGGTTTTCAGAAATCGAAGGCGTCAAGCCCAGCCAGTTAGCTTTTGATTCATGTATAGACTCTGCCAACCGGTTGGTTCTATCAAACTCTGACGGAATGCATAGACAGCCACCAACACTAAGAGTTGCAAGTGTCTCAACGATGCTCACATCAAAGTCGTAGCCAGCAAATTGGAACACTCTGCTTGTACCAGTAATTCCAAACGAGGACGTTGCCTCATGGATATTGCTTGACAATACACCATGATTCCATTGAATAGCTTTAGGGGTCCCTGTAGACCCAGATGTAAATAGTATGAGCGCCGGATCGCAAGCGCTATGTATTTGTTTCGAGGAAACCTCCCGCTCGTCAGCTTCTTGAGAAGCCTGTGCCGGGATCGAGATAGTTGGCACAAGTTCATCGAAGGGAGAGGACTGTGATAGAGCTGATACAAGTACTAATTCGGGTCTTAAGCTCTCTGCAATATCTTGGGCACGTTGTCTAGAACATGTCGCAGAAGTTGGTAACGCGACAGCTCCAATTCTCAACACTGCCAGGATGCTCGCGACAAACCACGCTGACTTCTCGAAATTGAGCACAATTATTGAGCCTTCTTTTACTCCCCTGACTCTTAAGACGCTCTCGATACTCTGGGTTATGCCTCTCAGTTGCTTGTATGAAAGCTGCTGGTCCCAGGATGAAATTGCGACAGCGGCAAGATTTGAATTTGCGTGTCTGTCGATCAAATCAACCATGTTGTTGTCTGGTATGTCAAGCGGTGTTTTGTTCCAGCTCGATATTTGGTCAAGATCGTTTGTGGTAAGTAAAGAGATATCTGTTAAGTTCAAACAACCATGTGATGGAGCACACATCGCTTGAATGAGGCTGTGGAACTGCTGACAAAATCGCCTAGCCTCCTGCTCCTTGATCGCGCCTGTGTCATAGTTAATTTTGACAGTCATCTCCGTCGAAGAGTCCAAGTGGCAAATAATCATCATGGCATATGAGTTGTAGATGCCCATACTGTCTGCTTTGCTGTCCTTTGATACAAGGATAGGACCCGACTCGTGTTCCGGGATGATCACAGTCTTCGGTTTTGAGAATATACCCCCTTCTTTCTCACTGGTACCTTGAACAGCGGCTTGAACTACCAGGAGAACTTGGAATCGACTAGCTTTCTCAATCTCTTTGCTGATCCGCTGGATATTTTGTAAACCGTAGTGCTCATGGTTCATAATATCCAGGGCTTGAAATTGGAGTTGCTTTTGGAATTCATCTACCGAGATGGACCGATTGATAGGGACTCGAACTGGAATTGTGCTGATCGTTGGCCCAGCGATCCTCTCTATTCCGGAGACAGGAGCTTGTCTACCGCTCACTGTTGCCCCAAACGTGATGTCGTCTAGATTGGAGTAGGAAGCAAGTAGGATCGCAAGAGCCGAACGAATTACCGTAGAGGCAGTAATGCCAGATGATGGCCACTGCAACCCTCCGATCTGGAGATCAAGATCCGCCTTGGTATTTGGAGTAAAGTTGACCGGCGGGAATGTGGAGGGCAAAGACCCGTCAAGTTGATTTGACCAGAATTGGATAGAGTCGGTCACACTCCTAGTTGTGATGTGCTTGATAAAAAGTTGGAAAGGGTGGAGTGGTTGCTGTTCTGTCCCTTGGTAGGCTGCCGCTATTGCATCCATAATAAGCACATTACACCAGCGATCAAATAGCGCATGGTGTATTTCCGATAGATAATAACGCTTGCCGCCATGCTGCACGATGCCAGCTTGAAACAGACGGGTGCCCAAGCCCATCGGGGCCGCATCTTCTAAGAACGAGGCGATACCAGGGTATTGTATCAACGATAAGACCTCGTCGACTACGACCTGAACCAATCCCTCTCCCGGAACATCAACTATCCTTGTTCGAATTATGGGAGTTGACTTAACCATAGCCGTCCACGCCATCTCAAAACGATCCATGTCGATATTAGACGGTAACTCGAATGCAGTCCGTGCTACATAGTTTGCAGTCGATAAGCTGTTTACTGAGTGGTTGGATCTCTCGCTCTTAGCAGTCATGGCTAGCATTCCTTGCTGAAGGGGGGTGCAAGGGAAAACATCTTCAACAAATGTTGTACCAAGATGACAAATCTTGGCAATGTGTTCGCGCAGCAGAGCCTCGGTGCTTTTGTTACTCAACAAGGCAAACGGCTCAACAATCTCAATGCCAGAGAAGTCTCCACGGGTCACTGACTGTGCCAGATCTCGGAGTATTGGAGTCCTGATCAAGTCTGCAACACTCATTGCCAAGTTTCTTTCGCGGGCGGCGGCGACAACAAATATGGCGGTAATGGAATCACCACCGAGTCGAAGGAAACTGTCCGTAGTGCTGATACGAGTTGGGTCCAACTTCAGAATAGTGGCCCAGATGTGTGCCAATTGCTGTTCTATGGGATCAGATGGTGCTGTGTGTTGCACCGAGGAGAAGATAGTCGCTTGGGCGGCAATAATCTCATCCCATGTTAAAGCACTAGCCATCTCGCGAAGAAGTCTCCTATCTGACTTCCCGGTGGCTGTAATCGGGATTTTTGCAACAGGGAAGTAGATTCTGGGGATCATGAAAGCTGGAATGACTCCCTTCAGCTGTTCAGCAAGACCGTCCATAGCTTGCTTGATGTTGTGAATATCTTGACCTTCCAGTTCAATGAAGGCACTCAACGAACGGTCTTCACTTCCACCGCCGTGAGGAGTGATGACATCTACGACTATGTGAACTCTTCTCGGAAGAGAGGCACGAACGTGGTGCTCAACATCACCAATTTCGACTCTCTGGCCCCGTATTTTGAGTTGAGAGGCGTCCTTGCGGCCAACAAACACTAAATTCCCATCGGGATTGTACCGAACGAGATCACCCGTCTTATACAAACGACCATGTCTGCCGACGTGATGCGTGCTTCCAGCAAGAAGCCAGGCTGGGTCCGTGACAAAAGCTGCATTTGTCTTTTCCAGATCCCCTATATACCCCTGGCCAACAAGGGGTCCCTCAAGGTACAGTTCTCCTATAGATCCGATAGGGGCAAGCTTTTCGCTGTTGTCTGGATCCACAATCCACGTCGAAAACCCAACGCCGGTCCCTATATCCGGACGAGACTCAACCGAGGGCGTAAGAATTGAAAAGGCACATTTAAATGTACATTCAGTTGGGCCATAAGTATTCAGGAGCCTCACACGGCCAGCCCACCGGGTTATGTTGTCCGGATGTGGCATCTCACCGCTGAGGAGAACCGTCTGAAGAGATGATGGAATTGGGTTGATTGTCCTCAGTACGGTCGGCGTAACATTGATCAACGACGCCTTGAACGCGGTGATCGAGGACGACAGCTCACTCAGCATATCTTTCTCGGATGCAACGCAAAGGCATCCCCCTGAGCAGATCGTGTGGAGAAAATTACTCCATGCAACATCGAAGGAGTAAGGAGCAAAATCGAAAACCCTTCGGCCACGGCGGAAGCCCAGCTTTTCGCCTTGGTAGAATACAGCGCTTCTCACATTGGCATGGCTAATGCAAGCACCTTTTGGTTGACCAGTACTTCCACTAAATTAAAAATTAATGGTTTATTCATTCATTCGCCCTATTGGATCTAGGCTCAACTCACGAGGTGAAAGATATATAAACAATATCTGACGGAGAGATGGTGTAGGGCAAATGGAAGATTGCCCTTTTCGAGAATTCTGGTTTCAGAAGCGTGTCGTCGACTTGGATAACCGGAACGTTGGCGAGGGAGGTTGCTCTTCGGTAGTGTCCTGGTGACGAAAGTATAACCTGGGGGTACACTTGCTCAACAATGGAGAGTAATCTCCTGTCTGGCTGCGTAGCATCCAGAGCTACTGCGATGCAGCCGACCTTGATAATGGCGAGCATGCTAACAGAGGTCCATCGCGACTTGGAGAAAAGCAGCGGCACGACAGATCTGTGCTTTACGCCATGCTGAAGGATCGTGTTGGCAACACAGCTCGCCAGTTCATCCAGCTGGGAGTATGTAAGGTCCCCATCCCACGCACAAACAGCCAAGGCATCTGGTTGACTGGCAGCTATCTCGCTGACAAGATGGTGTACACAACTCTGCAGTTGCTTATGTACGGTGGCGTTGCGATCCCAGATCTGGTCAATATCATCAACAGATTGCGAGACGTCGATTGAGGTCTGTAGAGAGATGGAGGACACGCTAGGGGATTCTTCCGAGGAGTTATCCCCTGCCGAACATGATACAGTTGATTCAGCGGCCATACTCGGTAGAGAGATGACACGTCTAACCATCAGACGCCTTGCTCTCGATCTGCTCTATGGATGTTGATGGGGGAGACACCAACCATATGGCGATGGCAACTAAGTTTTTGAGTCAGCCAGATGCATTATGATGTATCTGCCCCAACAGCTTTGATGCCTCGTCCCCACGGACATGGTCATGGTTTCCCATTTGGCAGTGAGGGGCTTGGCACGGGCCCGGATCTTCTCAGGTAGCATTCGTACTGACTAGTGTCAGCCAGGCCACGGAAGTTTCAAGTATCGTATCTCATGTGGACGCTTGTACGACCTGCATGAGAAGCCCGCAAAAGACGAATCTACAGTAGAGATGACGTGCAAGTACCGGTATCCCTACGAGTCTACGACGAATCGAACAACTAAGCGAAGGAGCTTTGAATACAAAGTCACCTCGCATTCGGAACACACCAAAACCATCCCGAACGAGTAGCCAATGGCCTTGACGGCTTAGACTGGGGCAGTTCCAAATGACGAGCGAGCTGCGTGAGAGAGCATGGTTCAATATCGTGTCTGCACATCCTCAGGCGAGTCTAACCAATTCCCAAGCCGCGCCCAGCTCGCTTGAAAATGGCTGGCTGGTGAAAAGCGGCCCGTGCAAGGCACTTTTGCCTCTGAATTCCCCGCAAAAGCACGGCACGATACAGCACGGCGCTTATATCCTGATCTTCTTATCTATATCTATTATATAATAAGTTAATAAAGATATAAAAAAGGGGTATTTTTAGCAGCTATATCTCTCCTAGTATTAAAAATAATATATTATCTTTTATACCCCTACTTATAGATTTATATAAATCTATTTAATATATTACTAAGCTACTTTATATAATATAGAAAGATTACTAAGAAAATTAAGATATCTAATATATTAAACTAACTTCTTAAAGGATATAGATATAGCCTCTAAGAAGCTAGCTATATCTATATCCCTTTTAATCTATATCTCTTTATTTTAGCTATATCTATAGTAATAGAGTAATTAGTAAAACTATTATAAGTTAATATCTTTCTTAATAGAAGTAATAGTTTTAGCTATTATAGCTATCTTAAAGCTAATTAATAAAAATAATATATTTAATAATAAGCTTAATAATTTACTTATATTATATACTATATATAAGTATTTTTATTAATAGTAAACTTAAGTCTAGACTTAAGCCTATTATATAAATTATAATATTATTAATCTAGATAGTTATTTTATTATCTTTAAATATACTTAAACTCTAATAGATTTATTAGATCTAATATTTAGAGAATAATTTTATATTAATAAAATATAATTTAAAACTCTTATTAATTAAATAGATTTAAATACTTAATTAAAAGGCTTATAATATTAATTTCTTAATTAGAAATTTCTTATAGTTCTCTATATTCTTAGATAAAACTATATATAATAAATAATAGCTAAATTCTTCTAAATTATTTAGTTATTAGTATTTTATATTATATAAAATAGTTTTAAAATCTTCTAATTATTATTTATTATATTTATTAAATAATCTAAAAATAACTTTATCTATTTAGAGATCTTATTTAAATTAAATTATAAATACTTTTATAATTATATTAGAACTATTAATTTTTTTTTTTTTTTTTTTTTTTTTAGAGTTATTACTATATATAAGGAAGATATCCTAAGATTAAGCTATATATAATAAGATCTATATAACTTATTTTTTTTACTTATTTATAGTCTATACCTAACCTTTATGTTACGAACAAAGGCCTCTGTTAGGCCGCATGAAGTCACGTGTGGCGTGGAGCCTCGTGGAGGCTATAACTAATGAACTGCGACTCGTTACTCGGGCAGAGTGATAGACAAGTGATAAGCAAGTGATAACTCTAGTATATATATATATTTATTTCATTAGCTAGAACACTCTTTCAGACAGTTATTAATAAAGTTACAATCTTTCAGTAATATCGTCTATATATCTATTATTACTAGTTCTATAATACTCATATATTAACAGTAACTCGTATTACACAGCCTACGATAACCTGATCGCGCTACTCAGAATAATACTCTGATTGGTTTAACCCCCAACTTACCCTAGACCAGGTCCAGTGTAAGTTACCCAACCGTCACACTTTAACTCTATTCCTTATACTTTACTTTTTATATAAGCTATAGTAAGGTAATAGCTTTATTAAAAAACTCTAATAAGGTCTTATTAAGTATATAACTTAGCTATAAGCCCTAAGGGGAGAATACTTATTAATTATAATTAACTATAAGACTCTAAGTAAGTAAGTATATAAGTATATAAGTAAGTAAATAAATAAATAAGCTTATTATTATTAATTACTAACTAACTATAGCTAACTAACTAAATAAATAACTATATAATATCTCCTTATAATAATAATAATAGTCTTTTCTGATATAATTATCTTAAGTAGCTAAGGCCTGGTTATAGTAAGGGACTATATCCTTATATATATAATAAAGA